GTGTATGTACAAAAATTATAATTTCAAAAGGATTAGTATTCACCATTGAATGTGTGCATATTTAAATTTGGAACTTTAAGTAGAACATTGAAGTTTGCATGGTTAACCGAGTTATAGAGCGCCTAAAAACCGAATACTGCTGGTTCGATTCCAAGAGAGAATTCGTCTGTTACGAAGAAAATATTAAAAGTTAATTGGCAGCTATATGTAATCAAACCCCGATAAGTTTTCTTTCAAACCCCTCGTATCGTCTTGGCACCGTTCTGCTACAGTGCTACACTGTCTATGATGCAGGTAGGTCGTAAAACTAGGCTACATCACCAGCCAAGTATCCATTGTGGCGGACGTAGCGTGTTATTATTGGTCAATGCTCTCAGCCACTATTCCCACACTGCAAGGATGTTTGCTATCTTGTATATCTTCTCACCAAGTACAACAACTTTGCGGATTCCACAGTTGTAATTCTATGGATCCGAGGATGTTGTAAACCAGACGAGTCTAATTGTGGTAGACAAGGAGTTGATGTCGGTAAATGATGGACAAGAGTTGAGGTACTGTAGGTCAGGTTAACCCTCGTCATCATGATGGACAGTTAAGCAGTAAGAGAGTATTCATCAGCTAAATGTATACAGTAAATGCAAATTACAGAAAATATCATCAAGAATAAGCGTGTATTCATGGTGTATTTGAGCTATTTACTTTTGTTTTATGACAATTGACAATGCATAGGCCTACATTTAAAATTGTCACAAGAGCAGCTAAATGCAGGCTACGTTTTTTACCTTTTCCTGTGTTCTGCTAGAAAATTGTGTACGATGGTTTTTATAGCATAAAAAAGAATGCTCAGGAAACTATACGCTAAACGTGTTAGAAATGCTTCAAAATCTCACTACATTTTGAAATCACACAATCGCAAAATAATTCAACAGGATTTTCGATTTCACCTTATCTTTTCAGTCACGTACCTTTTCCCGCCAAACTCACGAATTCGGAAGATTGGATAATGTTACAGTTCGAAAGACAATTTCGTACGATCTCCGACTAGAATGTGAAAGTGTTGGCATGCAGTGAGCAGAGGTCATCCAGAGTCACCTGAGGTGGTTGTAGGAGAACCTGCGGAGTGGAGAACAAGTAGCTATCGATACGCTAGATCGGGTTTCGACACCGATAAAAGCCATTCCCACCATGTCGTTCAAGGTTGGTTACGGCTGGGGCTCAAAGTGAATCGAACAAAGCCATTAGCAACTGGGTTTGAGGGGCAGAGACCTTGATAGGGCGGAGCCCTGCATGTAGTACATTTACATAGGTGGGACCAAGTGTTTGTTTTCTTCACTGACGTCCAGGTTTGTTTGGATTTCAACGAAGCAATCTGATCAGATTAACAAGAAATGGAGAACATTCTTGATTTTTGAGAATGGTCTGAAAAGGGTCTGCTAAACCATGAGCAGGTTTTTTGGTTTCTACGCCATTGACATTTTTTTACTTTTTGTGAGGGAACGATCCAAATCCTGGTCTTGTTCTTACGTCAATCTTGTGTTAACGTCCAATTGATAGCCCAATCTCGCTAGGAAAAGAATATCGTTGAAATCGAATTGAAATCCTTCTGGCCATCTTTTTGATAAAGATAGACATGGTTACGCAGAAAGATAACAAATGGTGGGGCCAAGCGAGTTTGTTATGGCCGTAAAGATTTTGTAATAATGTTTTTTTTTTATACAAGGATACAGAAGAAGCTGGAATGATAAAATCATTGACTTGGATGTCTCTTGCTTGATTTAATTCACTATGTATTATAACTGGACACTCGCTGGCCTTGGAATTGTTCATTTCCATCAGGTTCACGCTCATGCCCTACTTCAAGGTTAATTGGTGAGTTACGGCTTCCACTGGTTTAATATGTGTCATAATCAACAATGAGAAATAATTACCCAAGCAATAATCTACCGGTGATCATCATTACTTGTTCATTAAAGAAGTTGCATCGTAATGCTCCTCATCATTACGATGTGGCCAGTCTTGAGAATTTAATCTTATTTCAGTCTTGAGAATTCAATCTGATCAAATCAAATCAAATCAAATCATTTATTTAGCCAAAATTTTAACAAAACAAGTTGCATTAGCTAAGTCACATTATTTTTAAAAGATGCCTTACATAGATTTGTACAAGATTGTTGCATTGTAATTAAATTGGGATGGATTTAGTAATTGGAAATTTTTAAACAGTTTTTAGTGTTTTTTATCATCACACTATCCACAATAGTATGGAAATATTTATTTTCCTACAGTCACCTGACAAGTGGGCTTCCTTGCACTGATAATAGTACAGAAAGTTGCTAATTGCTGCGTTTACTAGTTTTCCTGCACTCCAGTATTCAAACCAAACAACACAAAACAGTTTACTTTTATTAGGGACGTAATACGTGTACTCTTGAAAATAAGTTGGCAGCACTTAAAGAACTGCGACTTCTACCAGGACTACTACAGTATACGATCAGCTGATGCATTGTTTGTTTCTCATTTCGTTCAACGCTTGGATTTAAATAGGAAATTATTTATCCCAACCTAAAAACGTGCTGTATAGTGTTTGAAAGACTAAGTATTTCTATGCTTTATAACTGTAGGAAAAATATAATGTGTTACACGAGGGCAAGGTGTCACATTGCTCACTAGTTACACAAATGACTATTTTATAGTAAAAGTAGAGATGAAGAGCTTTTAGATGACTCAGTTTATTTTTAATTATATTTTAAGGTAATAAGAGGACTTCCATTGAATTGTAGAAATAAATAATGAATAAAGTGAGAGTTTATGTCAGTTTCAATGCAGTGTCCAATGCAGTGTCCTTTCCAAGCAGTTTCTAAACCAGCCCGGCCACCATGTTAACACACCTCCATTCTCCACTGATATGCTCCATTTTTATTTACCGACCAGGCTATTGGCTTGATCATGTGTGAAATTCAATATCCTTTCTCAAACTAGATAGTTTTTTCTCACCTTACTGCAAAGAGCACTGGTTAGGAAACTAACGATGTAAACCTATCCTGCATGTCCTTATTTAATTTATTAATATGTTTGTAAAATGTCCTCCTATTTAGAATTAAAGACAAGAAACTTTAAGAAGGGTCGTTTTTGGTTGGATCTATTAAGAACTCAGCACATATTACTACTATTATTATATATCATCACGAGGGTGTAAGGTGATCTTTTTTACCCGAATTCAAGTTTTACGATCAAGGCGAGGCTGAGGTCGGAAAATGAGCGAGGGTTGAAAAGAAACATTTTGCCCATGAGATCAAATATATTTTTCGTTATATCGCACCATTATTTGAACAAACTATGTTGCAAAACTGAAATAGTTTTCATTTAAAGTTAAGCTCTCAAAACTATTTCTAGCTTGTTTTCAATTTAATTTGGTAATGGAAACAAGCAGCTATTTAGTAAGTGATGCAATCGTTTCGTGTATTACGATTATGCAAGTGTAGTGTACATTTTACTATCGATGTGTCGAATTATTTACAATAAGGCAACAATTAACTACAATCGATAAAACAATCGATACATACTTTCTATGCATGCAATTATTTATAATTGAAATTTTCAACTGAGTTGACAACAGCTAAATTTTACTCCATATAGGCTAAATATTGTAAAATTTCTTTATATTACATCCAGTTATTTACAATTTGTTTTGAAGTAAATCACATACAAGAATGTTATTTGTTATTTGTACACAATTTATTTATCTAACTAATTGATGTTCTAACTAATTACAACACCTCTAAATTTATATGATTTTTCTTCTTTTTAAAATATTCTGATTAAAGGACTCCCCCTTACCCCTTTAATAATAATAATACGAAGTTTCTATCTATACAATACTGTATACTCAATAACCTTCACATAAACTATTTCATGGTTAGCACGAAACATCAAATACAGTACCTAATAGGCTATAAACTAGTAACAAACCCTAGTCAGTGTTAATGTGTTTGGTTTCCCCCAAACTTTAACAATGTCATCAGCCACAGCCACAATGATAATCAGTTTCAACATGACAAAGTGAGTTACTGAACTGTAGACTGAAGATGTTTGTGTAACTAGTTAGTCTGCTTGTTAGCCTGATCAGAATACAGGAAACTAACAACTACTAGCTAATCAAACTGTGTTAAACTGGTGTCTGCTTAACCAGTCTCTTTTGTTTAAACCACGGGTTGTCTTGTTCATAGCTATTTTTCAATTACTGTTCACTTAGTTTTAGCTTTGTAGGCATTACCATTAAGTGGAGGTTTCAAATTAGAGTTTAACGAAATAAAAAATTCTAATACCAACTTTTTATACACTGACAGTAATATACCAAACTAAAGGGCAACTTTTATTTTAAAACATAATTTTCCCCCATCAACTTAAAGATTTCAAAGTTTGAAATCCAAGAGAGAAGAAAATAGAACTTCAATTATTAATAGCAAACTGGATAAAAGAAAATTAAGTTCTCTTTATACTAGTTAAAATGGCTACAGATGGTCCATGTGGATAAAATCTGTACTTCAATATACAAAGTCAGTGTTTACTTAGTACACATAAATATTAGTTTATAAATTGGTGGTAACACCTGTGACATTGACTTTGGATTATAAAAGTACACAGGATCATCAAAAACACTTTTTTGATCAGTTTTTAATGTCCATCGGGTATACTTTGACTGAGCTGATGATGCTAACTTAGTGTGCAAATTATTTTATTTTAGGTATGTTTTACTCTTGGTGACTATAATACCTAAATTTTACTTTACGTTTGTTCTATTTTGGCCCTCTTGTATGCCTTAAAATTGTCTTCAGTGCATATAAGCATTGTAAATACAAAAATACAAGGAATAGTATGGTAAAATTAAGCAATTAAGAGAAAGTTTCAGACATCACTCTTATGGGATGCAGTAAATGTTAAGTACTGTGTGCAAGTAACTTGTAACTAATTTATCTGACATTGTTGGTTTTCTGTTTCAGGCTGGGAACTTAGAGGACTACACTGCTATAGGTTCTTTAGTATATTACACTCGTGGGAAAATGCAGCCCAGCTTTGCAATAGGTGAGTTTTTTGTTTGTTTTCCCCAATTCTAGTTACACTTTCTCTCACTAGGTTGCACCAATCTCCCTGGGAACTTTTGGATTAACCAAACTCTCACTAATCAGTGATCACTAATGTTTTGCTTCATTAGTGACTGTGAGAATCACTAGAATGTCATTACAGATTCAATAGTGATCTAAAGTTAAGTGTCTACACAGATTTTTTAGGTTATAAAACTACTTCTTAACACTATGTCTCAACAACTAACTATGTCTTAACAATGAAAGAAATTATTTGGGAGGGAAAAATAATACCCCTAATATCCAACCGGTCCCCCAAAATACCTTTAATTCCAGATTGGGATTTTTTATGTTTGTCAAGAAACTTTTTAAATTATCAATCATTGATATGGGAACACCACCTATGTGTGTATTTTAACCCAAATATAAACTAATCAGTTAGTACCTATGTTACAACCATAATGACTATGGAGGGATCACTTTGAAAGTTTCACTCAACAAAATCAAAGTGAAAATGCATATAAGTGTATAACCTGAGAAAGTTGTACAAGGAAAATGAGTCAAATAAATCTTGTACAATGATGAATCAAGATAAAATCTGCGAGAACACTGTGAATGGATTGTGGAATGCATTAGAAAGCTGTAGGGATCAGCTGATGATGTAAGAGACAGCATCTTCAGCTGTCCTGCAAATGTCAAAGGCAACTCCTCCAATAGCCACTCATTATATGCTATTGTTTTGTCTATGTTTTAAATTTAACCTTTTATTTTTCATAAGCTGTAGTTTATATTTTAATGTAATTTTTTTTTAAGTCAAAAGTTGTAAACCTCTGTTGTTAAACCCCAAAGTTCTAACAGTTTTGTAACTTATGCCATTTTCAAATAAATCGTTAAAACGTCTTGAAGTCAGATTATTATATGACTAATTATTATGAAAAGGATAATTTATTGAGCTTGTTTTGGCATACAAAAATACAGTGGATAGATGTTAAATTTCATTTGTGTTTATATACCTAATAGTACTACGATAACTGTTATAATACCTAATACAGTACCTAATGTTCTAGACGTTTTTGTTTAGAAAAATGTAGGGATCAAAATGATTCTTAGAGTTTGGTAATATATAGCTATGATAGCAACACAAAAAATTTAAGTAGCTCTAACTAATACTAATGAAAACTACAGGTACAATGTTCAGAGGCATTATGCAAAGTATTAATTTATGAATAAACCGAATCTCCATTACTTTCATTCTATTACATCTTTAAAAAGTATTTTAATTAATATCTTAATAATAGATACTGAAAAACTAGTTCACTTGGCACTTGGGACCACCACGCGCTTTCAGTTCTAGTATATTTTGCCAGACACTGGTTTGCGACGAGAAAGGAAAGGCCTGAGCAGCGAGGACTGTGCGAAAATTCCCATCACACAGGGTCTTCCTCCACTGTAAGTGGTATAGTACAAGAGGACGAGAGGGGGCGGTGTTGGACTTTTTCCCTAAACACCAGAACTAGTGCTAGACACCACTTAAGTGGCCCATTGAATGTTTCCTCTGTACCTTACTTTTCTGTGGCACATCTACAAGAAATGAATCTTGTATTTTATTGTTGGCACATATCTCCTATCAAGGGACATCATTACGTTCTGTCACAACACCATTACTGTTCTAGCGAGTGAGTAACTTTGCCCAACTCTGTTATAGGTACGGCAGTGACCTGTTATTAGTCGAGTCATACGCAGAGAACAATTTCACAGCCAAATTAGCACATAAGAGTTTAGGCCCTGCGGACAGAGCGAATCAAAAGTACTGGTTGGGACTCGCCTCCTTGGACGATCTCAACACTAACACACTCGAGTCTGCGGCCGGTGTTCTAGTCTCACAATATGCAGGTAAAATTGAGATTGTATTTAATAAGGTTTATAATTACTTATTTAACTATTTTTATAAGGTAAACATTATTCAGACCTACATACATGCAGGTGCTTTGTACATTTTCTTTGTGCTATTTAAGAGATAATTGCAGACATTTTCGATATGACGATTAGTAAAATAGTACCTTGTACAAAGTTTTTCTAGATCTGGAATCTGATGCCATACACAAGTGGGAAAGTACAAAACAAGATCATATACATTAAAATTATATTTTTTGTGAATTTTCCTCTATTCTCTAGGGAAGAAGCTATTTTCATTACTATTTGTCTGTATTTCGAACTGAAATGTAGAAAATATTGGCTTGATTTCTAAAGATTGTTTCAAAACTTTTTCAGAATTCTTTTCTTGTTGTAGGTTTTAAACAATCAGAACTAATGGGTGTACTGTATTAAGTCCAGGTCATTAAAGACATTGGTTTATTGTTTCCTACACACAAAACAGTTTTTTTATAAAAAGGATTCAAATTTTTTGAGCTTTTTAGAAAGTATCAGAAATAAAATGAAGGTTTTTGCCAAATATTATACAGGCTAAAGAGAATAACATTCTAGAAGGGTACTAGCCCCTAGCCCCATTAGGCTCGTCACCACTATAACGTCACGATTATCACATAAAGATTTGGATTAGACTCTTTGATTGCCAAAGTCTAATCTATTAAAAATCATTCAAGTATAGTCAAAACACCCATCAGCAACAGATGATGAACGTCAAACTGATTTGCGACTTTGTGCAGGTTTCTGGTCGCTGGACCAGCCTGACCCCTCGTCAGGTGAGTGTGTGGATGTCATGCTCTCGGACGAACAACAGTCCTGGGAGCTGCAGACATGCGAGTCGCTGCTGCCCTTCCTATGTAGGGCCAACGCTTGTCCTGCCGGTGAGTGCCTTGTAGTTGTTATAGAAAAATTGTTGCAACGGCTGAAAAAGCTATACTTATGCAGCTACAGTATTGTTATAAGGTGATACATTTTTATCTGTTAGTAATGATTAGGAGGTTTTTCATTTTTTTGTTTTTCCATTTTGTTAGTACTAGTTACAGTGAATTTTTTCCACCTCTATCAATATTAAATGTGATTTCTATGCAAATAGGAAATCACTTTCAAAAATAAACTTTTGTCTATTTTTAGCCAACTACTATTCAAAAAAATATAGCTGCACAAAAGCAAACAGCTGTTATTGACACAGATATATCAAAAATCACCTTCAAGGGAGTTGAAACAGGGCACAATATTATCAGCTGTAGTTTCAGCTCGTAAATATTATTCTCGGATATTGTTATTGTTTAATTAAGTTGTTTGACAGGAAAAATTTAACAGTGAAATCAAAGAATTGATATTCATGAATGATCCAAGCAATACTAATTTTTTAACTCCTGGCTACAGAATGATAAAAGTTTTGTTTATCACAGAGCAAAAGTTTCTTTTGGTTTTTAAAAATTTTGCATACCCATCTTTCCATGTGCACCATAATCAACCACTGCACTAAAAATTACTACCCAAAGTTTTGCGCACCTTTATAAAAATCTCACGAATCATCGTTCTGACTAGGTTCATACCACTGTTCCAACGGCCGCTGCATCAATGCTGCGTTCCGCTGTGACAAGGAGGACGATTGCGGGGACGGCAGTGATGAGCTGGACTGTCCTAACCTGTGTCACCACTACATGGCGTCTAGTGGGGATGTGGTGGAGAGTCCTAACTACCCTCACAAGTACGAGCCCCTGGCTACATGCAAGTGGACCCTTGAGGGACCCCAGGGACACAATATTCTGCTGCAGGTTGGTGACGATTCCTTCCGTTTACTTAATAACTTAAACATTTAGATTTTAGATACGATGTAGATTTGTATTTGTGATAAAAGTACAACCTATCTTCATACTATCATTCATAAAGGATGAGGTACCTTGATTATTATTTCATTAAGTAGACCCAATTGAATTTTGGACAAGGATCAATAATTAAAAACCTCAACAATCGATAACATAAGGGTTCAGATTTGAAATTTAAAGGTTGTCCCAGAGCTTGCTGGAGATTAAGTTGGAAATTTTTAAATGACAAATAAGACTTTGCTTATTTAGCTTATTATTATTATTAGAATAGGGAACCCATATTTTTTTTCTACAACGGTGGTTAGCTTTCCCGTGAAAATCACAACTACAACACTGGGATACGTATAGTAGTTTATTCATAGCCTCTTGTTCCTTTCTAGGACGCTTTTTTGGGATTGACAAATTTTAATATGTACAGTAATCAAAGTTTTCTTCCAGGTTGTGTTTGTAATTAGTTTGCCTGGAAGTTACCCATCTACCGTAAATTCTCTCCGCAGTAACAATTAACTTGTTAGTAGGTAAAAAACTAAAAGCTGCAAAAATTGAGTTGATGACGTAGCTACAACATTTTTTCATTGTTTCAGTTCCAAGAGTTTGAGACGGAAAAGACATTCGACACGGTGCAGATTCTGGTTGGAGGAAGAACAGAGGACAAAGCTGTCAGTTTGGCTACACTGTCGGGCAAACAGGACTTGGGCAACAAATCCTTTGTTTCAGCCTCAAACTTCATGATCATCAAGTTCAGCACCGATGGATCAGTTGAGAAGAAAGGATTCAGGTATGAGGCCATTACACACGCTGTGAAACTAGTATTTGTTGCTGGTAGTGTGGTAAAGAAGTATTGTACATGACCCTCATACGGGAAGGTTTTTACAATTTACAGTACTCGTAAACTGATGCTCATACCATACAACAGGGCCGATTTACCGAATAGGCACGGTAGGCACGTGCCTAGGGCGCAAGGCAATTGGCTTTTTGGGGGGCGCCAAAAATTTGGAAAATAAAAAAATTGGTGGTTGTATTTGCATGCGATCGCGGTAAACTTCTGATAATCCCTCGCGGCCGTGTAGACATCGTAATCGTCTCCCGCGTTTGCGGCAAGATTCTTACCACTTTCCGTGGTTGCGTTGTTTAGACATAATTATCGTCTTCCATGATCGAGGCAATACATGAGCATATCCCGCGGTCGTGAGGATATTATCCTCGTCTTGCGCGATCGCGGTCAAATTCTGACCACCCCTCGCAGCCGTGAAGACATCATTATATCGTCCCCCGCCGGTCTTGTGGACATAGTAATCGCCTCCCGCGATTGAGGCAAAATGGTAATCATCTCTCTCAGTCTTGTGGAGATCATCATCCTCTTCCGCAAATTAGGCAAAGTTCTGACCTTAACCCGCGATCGTTTGGCCATTATCATTGTCTTCCGTGATCGTGGCAATATTCTGATCACCCCTCACGGCCGTGTATAAATCATTATCGTATCTCCCGCGGTCCTGTAGACTTCGTAATTGTCTGCCGTAGTCGTGAAGACATCGTAATCGTCTGCCGTAGTCGTGAAGACATCGTAATCGTCTCCCGCGATTGTGAAAAATGGTAAATGTCCCCCACGGAAATATGGAGATCATTGTCTTCCGCGAATGAGGCAAAATTCTGATTTTTCCCGCGGTCATGTGGACATTATCATCGTCTTGCGCGATCGTGGCATAATTCTGATCATCCCTCGTGGCCATGTAAAAATCATTATTGTATCTCCCGCGGTCCTGTAGACATTGTAACCGTCTCCCGCGGTCGTGAATACATGGAAATCGTCTCCCGCGATTGCGGCAAAATGTTAATCATGTCCCGCAGTTGTGTGGAGATCATCATCGTCTTCCGCGATCGCGGCAAAATTCTTCCTGTTTCCCGCGGTCGTGCGTGGACATTATCATCGTCTTCCGTGATCGTGGCAATGTTCTGATTATCCCTCGCGGCCAGTTGTAAACATATTATCGTCTCCCGCGGTCGTCACGGAAACGTAGACAAAATTCACACATAATTCCCGTTTAAAAAAACTCCCGCATGATTCCCGGATTTCCCGGTCGGTGGACACCCTGTTATATATATTGCAAAGGGGCACTACTATTAATTGTGCCTAGGGCGCTGACAGGGCCAAAAGCGGGCCTGCCATACAATCCTATTTCCTGGCCTTGAAGTTTAGTTGTTGAACTACAACGATAGAACGTGAAGTATAATATACTATTTTCATAATATAAAATAAAGATAAATCTTTTTCAATTCTTCTTCCTGATCTTCTTGAACTGACCCTTATTCCCTTCTTCCAGAGCTTCTTGGAAGACGGAGCCACAGTCGTGTGGAGGTAACCTACGAGCCACACCTCAGCCACAGATACTCAAGTCCCCTGGATATCCTCAGCACTATCCTGGTGGACTGGAATGTCTGTACATCCTCACGGCTCAGCAAGGACGCATCATCACACTGGAGGTATTACAGTTTTCGAACAGTATTTGATTTCAAATCCATTCATTGTGACAAGTAGGGTACAACAGATTAGGTTCAACAGATTTTGGACCTTGGTAGAGATCTTGAGATGAGCTCTTGGCACACATACAGTAGTGTATTTATCATTCGCCTTAATCATTTTGTAGATTTTCTTGTTGAAAATTTTCCATGTTAAGTTTGAAACGGTGATTTAAGACTTGAGGATTTTGTGAATGGTCAACGTACGACTAAAATATGTTTTTGTTGTTTTTGCTGTGTAATAGTGTAATGTACAGAATAATCACATACAGAGAAAGATAAATTTGAAAGGTAAATTTGAAGCCTATTACACACATTTATAAACAATCTGTTAAATTTATAAAATGGGTAAAAGCAATTTCAAGTGCAGCATTCTTGAAACATGGTGAACATTTACTTATCTTTTCAAAATACAATTCAGACATGAAAAATTACAATATAGAGGTGCAAAGCTCAATTTTAGATCTTAAGTATTTTTTTTCACAGGTTCAAGACCTTGATTTGGAGACGAACAGGGATTACATCCTAATCAGAGATGGAGACTCACCGAAAAGCCCAACGATTGCAAGACTGACTGGTAAAATAGACAACAACCCAAGAATCATCATGTCTACAGAAAGTAAACTGTACTTGTACTTCAAGACCAGTTTGGGAGAATCACAGAAAGGATTCAACATTAGATATTCCCAAGGTAACAATCAAGAGATATTGCATAAGCTGATTTTAGAGGTGGAGTGAAATATTTTTGCTGCTTGTTGCAGCTTTTTGAATTCTTCTCCTCAACAGTTCATTATATTCTCATACAAATACATGGGTAACATTTTACTCACAAACGACCCCCCAACTTTCCACAACTTATTAATTTTATTTCTTTATTTTTTTTATTTTGTATGTCTATGCCAAAGATAAAACCTGATACACTTTTCATAAGAGAAAGCAGCGCTAACTTTTTTTGTATTTACCGTGGATCGAACCGGTCCCTTTTGCACAGAAGTCACTAGGCTACCAACAGACCCAAGTATAAAAGCAATTACCGAAATTTTTCTAAAATCAAAACTAACTCTAGCCACTTTCTGCTACAGGTTGCAGAGCGACAGTGGACACAGCCAACGGAACAGTCTCGTCCCCAGCATACGGACTTGCTGACTACCCGAGCAACCAAGAGTGTCTTCTGCGCATCCACAACCCCTCGGGCAGCGCACTCTCCCTCAAGTTTGACTACTTCAACGTCCACCCGAGTGACACAGTGCAGGTGTTTGATGGTACCAGTACCAGCGGACTTAGACTTCACCCGGGTAGTGGGTTCTCTGGCACCCAAGTACCCAAAATCACCCTGACAGCCTCCAGCGGTACCATGCTGATACGCTTCACCACCGACGCTCTGCACAACAGCAAGGGATGGCACGCTCAGTACTCTGCTGGTGAGTGTTTTTCTACGATAAAGAAAATACTTAAAAGTTGTGAATGGGGATTATTGCTTCCTCTAAGAACACACATTGGTGTAAACTTTGTAATAAATTTATAAACGCTTATTTTTTTCTGGTTAAACCTTTGACTATATTAGTGCTGTGTAGTCAATTAAATGATTTACACAGTTTACACTCTTTTCACTTTTATTCTTGAAAAGTTTGTTAGCTTTCAAAAGCTTACTACCTATATGCATGAGGATACAGAGGGTGAAATTATGATTCTGGGTGAAGATTCAAAACCAAAAAGTGCTCAAGTTATTCCCATGACTTTGTATAGCCTACTGTATTATTAAAAATGAATGATAAGGTTTTTTTTGTTATTTGGATCGTTATTGTGTTAAATTTCAATTACGACTATATAGTGAATAACATCAGTGTTCACCAGTTTTGGGATCTGAAATCTGATCCGGTCCTCAGTTGAAAAATTACCTACAACATTACATGAATAGTACACAAACTAATCTAGAAATTGCAAAAAAAACACACAGATAACTAAGTGGTTGTCAAAACAAAAAAACAAAAAATCTTTAAAAAATTTAAATTGGTACAAATAGGGGGTAGAGAACACAATGGACATGTCTGCAAAAGATGACTGAAGAACATGCATCATCACCAAAAATGAATTATGAATAAAGAGTTCCTACTGTTTTGTTATCTCACAATCTCTATTTTTTTAGATTTGATTAAACTAAAATTTTCTTTGTATATTCTTTAAATCTAACCAACTTCCACAATTGTTCACAGACTGCCCAGTGTTGAGGCCAGGAGAGGGAGCTCTAGCATCCAACAGGGACACAGCGTTTGGCACAGTGGTTGTCTTCACTTGTCCCGTGGGACAGGAGTTTGCCACGGGGACGGCCAAGATCACAACAGAGTGTCTGCCCGGAGGTAACTGGAGCATCTCGTACATCCCGAAGTGTCAGGAGGTCTACTGCGGACCTGTACCTCAGATTGACAACGGCTTCTCCATCGGCTCCAGCAACGTGACGTACCGAGGCGAGGCACTGTATCAGTGCTACGCTGGGTTTGCCTTCCCATCCGGTCTGCCTATTGAGAAGGTGTCTTGCTTGGCGGACGGACGGTGGGAGCGACTACCAACTTGTTTAGGTAGGGTAGAAACTGTTAAATGTCTGTATTTTGTTAACTTTGCCAGTTTGAATTATTCTGTTTTTGTTATACAGTTAAGTCTCAGTTATTCAACCTAAGCCTTTCAGAGCAAAGTTGGATAAGAGAAAAGGTTTTGACCTATTTGGTTTTGAGTAATGTTTTGATTTTTTGGTTATTTTTACATTATTTGCGATAATGGCTTCAAAACTAAAAATGTAGTGATAATAACAAAAAACCAACTTTAATATATCTTTAATGGGTTTTATAATATAGAAGAATAATTAATTTTGTGATTTTTTTAACATATTTAAAATTTTATCTATTAGTTTCTGTGTACTATTTGTAGTGAGGAATTCATTTACATTCCTTGAATTTGAATACTATTTCTTTTGACCAAAAGCCAATTCAAGCTAAAACCGCATTACTAGTTGCATACTCAATTGATCTAAAAACATATCAATAACAATTGCTCATTCCACACTTCTTACACCTAACTCTCTCTGTCTCTGTTCAGCATCGCAATGTCCCCCACTGCCGGAGGTGTCTCATGCCAACGCCACTATCCTGAACGGCGGTGGTCGCAGTTACGGCACAATCGTTAGGTACGAGTGTGACCCTGGCTACGTCAGGACCGGACACCCTGTCATACTGTGCATGAGCAACGGAACTTGGTCCAGCACTCCTCCCACCTGCTCTCGTAAGTAAAGACGTAAAACACCCTCCTCTGGTCATGAAAATTCTGACCAAAAACTGATTTTCTAGCTGATAAATTATTTTTATGATTTCAGTTATTTAAATAACTTCTTGATCAGCATTGTACGTGTTATTAAATTTACAGAAAGTAAATAAAAGAAACGTCTTATAACACTTAAAACTAAAACATATATTTACGCTTATACTGTTACTCACAAGACGGTAAATATACAAAAAAGATGGTAAGTGGTGATCGATTTCGATTGGACACTCTAATCATCATCATACCCAATAGGTGAATGTGGGTTTGCTGTATATTTACCATCTTGTGAGTAACAGTATAAGCGTAAATATATGTTTTAAGTGTTATAACGTTTCTTTTATTTACTTTCCATTCAGTTATTTCTCAATCAAATTTATAGTTTTTATGTTGAGTCTAAATTGTGTTGAATAAAAGATAAAGTTCAATCTGAGAAAGTTCGAGTACTAGGCTAACATACAAAAAAGGTCACCAAACATAACGCCTGGAGATTAATACATTCACTTTGCATGCCCAGGTGCAATGTGTCCCAAGCTGCCGGAGATTGCGAATGGATTCGTTATCGAGGCTTCACAAAGGTACTTGTTTGGGGACGAAGCTCGTGTCCAGTGCCACAAAGGTTTCAAGCTCGTCGGAGGTTCCAACATCATCAGATGTGGTCCAGAACAGACTTTTGTCAACCCACCAAAATGTGAAGGTATGTTTTAGCAAGTTTGTATTTGAGTTTTAAAGCCATTAAGATTAACTGTGCAGTTAAAAGCACGTCAGATTTAAGTTACTGTGTTGTTCTTTACCTGGTTTACTACATCCAGCTTCATAAATGAATATGCCTATATTGAAATCACTTTTTATATAAAAATTATTGACTACTGACTTTTTCTTTAAAAAATAGATTTGATACGGTAACAAAACATTAAAAAACAAGACAAATTTTTGGAGCTTGATTTGATTTAATTTAATTGAATGTACACAACACACATATAAACTATGGAAAAGTAAAGAATCCACAACTAAAAGAGGCAAAAAAGTTATATCACCTATGGAATTACAAACCTCTCAGACAATTCTCCAGAAGTTGAATACCTTTCCCAAAATTTATTATGGAACTATAAAGAGAAATTATAGTGTTATTTTAAACCTCCTTCGATTGTTTCATACAAGACAACAATAGGAGCTGCAAATCATAGACTATTTTCTTCATGTTTTAACTGAGCTGTGTATGCGCAGACATCAACGAGTGTGCTAGCAGCCAGTGTGACCAAGCATCTACAGAGTGCATCAACACTCCAGGAAGTTTCTATTGCAAGTGCCGTGGAGGGTTCGCCTCAACCCTGGACTGTCGCCCCGTGGGAGATCTCGGGCTCACGTCCGGTGGCGTACCTGACGACTCCATCACCGTGTCCAGCTCTGAAGTGGGGTACCCCAAGGAGGTAAGATCTAAAGAGATGAATTTAAAAAATGTATAAATGTTAGTAGCCTTTCAACTAACCATCCATGATGAAGAGCCTGTGTGTGAACAGTTATAATTGAAGCAAGACTTGACCTGGAACATTTCTATAGTTTATTTACATCCTTTCTTCACATCTTGGGACATGTTAGGCTTTAGCCTAGAAATAGGTGTTACCATCATCACCAGATAAAGCCAGTGGTGGTTCTAAGGGGAGGGGGGACACAGGGGATAAAGCTCCCCCATTGAACCCTGTAAAAATTCAAAAATGTATTTTGTCCTAAAACGTAACAGGTTTTTTACAGTTCTATAAAGTAAAAATAGATGTATTAAGTAAAAATAGCTTAAGAAAGGCACCAAATTAGCTTTAAAAATATAAAATTTTCCAAAATGGGAACTCATGACACCCCTTCTTTTGTTCACCCCCGAACCCCCTTGTTAGCCCCCCCTTGACAATGTCCTAGAACTGCCACTGGTTAAAGCAATTGATGATTGGCAAGATTTGACTAGGAGACTTTCATACTGAAGCCCTTTCTACTTGACTAGCTTGCTCTCATGAATATAGCAATACAAAAGTAGACGGAACTGACAATATGTCAGTGCATTGGAATGCATTTGCAGTACTTTCCTGAGTTCCTTAAACTACCAATTCACCAACAAAATAGTGTACATTTACACACACTCATTCCCATGGCCATTTATGCCCAAGGCCGCACCAACAACTGCTCTCCATCTCTCTCTATCTTCTGCCTCTTCCACTGCGGCCCCCATTTCTCTGACGTCCTTGTAGATGACACCACCATCTCTTCTTGGGCCTTCCTAATGGTTGTTTCCCTTCTGGCTTTTCTATGCCTGCTTCTTTTAATAGTGAGCCCCGTTCTCTCTGTAGTGTGTGTCCTGCCAACCTTATTCTCCTTTCTTTCACATTTACATGTACTGACAACAATATGCTTTCCTTTTTCAAAGATGAAAATTTCAATGCTTAAGTAATTTTTAAGTATAATCAAATCCTCCAAAAAATGTTCTATTACAGATGGTTCGCCTGAACAGTGGTCTAGGCTGGTGTGGTACCAACATAGAGCCTGGCTTCAACTGGGTTATGTTAGATCTCAAGGCACCAACAATCATCCGAGGCTTCCGAACACAGAGTGTACAAAGGCCAGAAGGAAGTCCTGCTTTCACCTCTGCAGTTAGGATCCAGGTCGGTGATTTAAAACTTTAAAATTTCCATTAATATTTCAAAAAGTTTATTTTTGTCTTGTTGACCCATAAAAAAATCTATATCTAAATGAGGATACAAATACATTAGAAAACCTCCAATCAAAGAGTTAAAACTCTAAAAGACACACTCATTTATACTTCCAAAAGCAGTTAATGCAGTTATCAACTCAAAAACATTTGACCAGTATCTCTATTATCAACTTATATGACTAAAATTTATATTTTTTTTAAGATTGAAAAATTCACTATAAAGACTATGTCTTTAAGGTTGCTCATATTTAAAAACTGAAATGAGATTTAACACTTAATCATATCCTATCCTAGCTATGGTATTTCTTTAAATGGACAAAAAATAAAAAATATATATACTGTATAGTAAGAACCAGAGAGTCAAACATTTCTTGTTTAATGAGATATAAATATAGTACTGTTAATATATTTGACTGAGTGTAGCCAATTTTTATTGCATTCAGTAGTTCCGTGACTGATATTACTGTCTGCTCAAAAATCTTTGAGGACCACTATCAGAAATAATTCAATAATATGTTGATCAATTTCCAGTACACCAACAACCTTACTGATGTAATGAAAGACTACACAAACCCTGATGGAACTCCAGTGGAATTCAGAATCCTTGAGCCAACTCTGTCAGTCTTGAATCTGCCTGCCCCAATAGAGGCTCAGTACATCAAGTTTAAAATACAGGTGAGAAAAGTGTCTAATTGTTATTTATTTAGAGATTTTCTTTACTATTATCATTGATTTTGTATAATGAGTTAGGCATTGGTTCATCCTTGATGCTTCACTCTTTAGTTAGAATACCAGAAGGAAGAAGAAGCTTATAGGAAGAGAAACGTTTGAAGATTGAAACTTGAAAACCTCTCTTTTACTTACTCAAACCTTCTAGGTTGAAAATGCTGTCAGTGGTAGCAGAGAAATTTTTCGGTAGGCCTATAGCGAAAGTTTGTTGTGTTTTCTGTGAAACGGAAGATTCTTTCCCAATCAAGTACATCTGCTATCCTAACAAAAGGTCCTCTTTGCAATTTTAACAGTTAACCTGATAAAGATTAAACCATGGTAAAACTAAGGTCTTAAAGTAAATTTCAAAGAATATATTTTTTCTAGGACTATGTAAACGCGCCATGCATGCGTCTAGAGGTGATGGGCTGCACGCGTCTGGAATGTGCTGATGTCAACGAATGTTCTTCTGACAACGGCGGATGTGACCAGAAATGTATCAATAGGTAGATATCTATTCAACAAATAATTATATTGGATGGGTTCATGTTGAAATATTCAAACCTCATTACTCACAAATTATTGTTCCAAGAAGTATATTTTTGTTTGAGCTCTTTATTTATTATTTGTGTCAGTGTAAAGAGTTGTGTTATTGATATTCACATTAGATACCTCACCATATTAATTTTTTATCAAAGTATTTAGACATGCAAGGATTTAACCAACATCATAATAATCAGTACTTAGTTGATACGTAAAAATTGATCTCATCATTAAAAAACATTATATTTCTGATGTAAAATTAAGGCTAAAACGTAAGGCCTCTAATTAAAAATAAATCAAGTTTATTATGTGTCTATGTATTTTTGTCTATCTAGTCCTGGAAGTTATGCCTGCGTTTGTAACGTTGGCTACGAGCTGTTCAGCCGCAACGGAACCGCAGGGTTCAGCGTTGACAAATCCGAGACAGGTTCGCAAGACGGAGACATCTTCCAGTACAACAAGACCTGCGTTCCCGTCATGTGTCCACCCCTGGCCGCGCCCAAGAATGGAATCATCCTGACGACGCAAGACTCCTTCCACTTCGGAGACCTGGTCAGCTTCCAGTGCCACTTTGGCTTTGTGATGGCGGGCTCGGCCAGTCTGCTATGTACCTCTGGGGGAGTGTGGAACGGATCAGTGCCTGAATGTCAATGTGAGCTTTCTAGATTTTGTCAAATACACTTAAGCTTGATAGTTAGTTGGTTTGGTGCAAAATTCAGGAGTAAAAAACGTTATAAAGTTATGTGAAAAAATCTTTAACCTCATAGTCATGTGCTACAAGCTTTTTATATTAGTAACTCTAATTTGGATTGGATTAAAGGTGGTTTATTAAGTCACAATGACCTGAAATCTTTAAATGTGTAGTTTCCTTCAGAAATTCAACTAATTAATTAGTTATTAAATTGTAAGTAGATGTTAACAAGGTACCTATTTTACATTATTTAAAAAACATCAGTCACTGTAAAAAATAGATTAAGATTACATATATAGTTACCTGTAATATTATATTAAACAAGTTTTAATTGATATTTGTGACCCCTTAAACTTAATGCTATTGGTAACCTAATATTTACTTACAAACATTGCTATGTTGCCTCCCTCAAAACCCACACTATTCACCCAACTAATCTTGTTTTTCTTTTCAACACGTTATTTTTCATGACAATAAGCTGTTTTACCTAACCTGTGATGACATTTCAGACGCCCAGTGTGTGAGTCTGCCAGATGATAAGGAGGAAGGACTTATGATCCTGAGACCGGACAAGGACACAGTGTTAGTCCCGTTCAGACAAAACGTCACTCTACAGTGCAACAGCAACGGACGTAACCTTCGTGGCACTGCCACCTCGGGCTTCCGCCAGTGTGTCTACGATCCCAAACCTGTAAGATGTATTACAAACTATATAATGCAAATAAGCTATCAACCTAGTTAATTACGACCAAACAGAGTTTAAAGGTATTTTCTAGAATTAAATTTAACAAATGGGTTGCACCAACAATTTTCCAAGGTGTTTTATATAATGCTTGAGTTAGATGATAGGTTAATTTTTTAGAATCAACTGTAGTTGGTACTTAGACTTAAATAAAAACATCTGCATATTGGTTCAGCATCAGCATTCGGCGTTTGGTTGTACAGTATTAAATTACTGAATAAGTTACATACAATTCCAACTTCAGGTTCTGGTATCAGGTCTTATCTTCAGGTGGGAAGGAACCTAAAAGATGTACCTGAAGATTAAACAAATAACACCTCTTCAAATTTTGTGAAACTTTGTGTTTACTTATCAGTGATAAAAATCATCTGCAATAGGACTTTACACGATAAGATAAATGTATAGTAAATAACCAAAATATTCACTTTTACTTGTTCCCGCAGGGTTTCCCCGAGTACTGGCTGTCAGGAAGTAGTCCCGGCTGTCCCCGCGCAGACTGTGGTGTTCCTGTACCAACTCCTGGAGCAGAATACGGCAACTACCCGGACACTCGCTACCAGTCGTCTTTCTTCTTTGGCTGCCAAGACACGTTCAAGCTGGCTGGACAGACAGACAGGAATGACAACGTGGTGCGCTGCCAGGCTAACGGAGTGTGGGACTTTGGAGATCTGAGGTGCGAGGGACCCGTGTGTCTAGACCCGGGCCGACCCGTCGACGGTTACCAGCTGGCTACCAGCTACGAACAGGTATGAAGCTCTGTTCATTTATTCCTGAAATTGTATGTTTATCTCTGATATTTACCTGTGAACTAAAATATCTTTGGACATAGCCTTGATAACACCTGGTATAGACCAGCGATGTATGTAGAAATAAAAATGCATTGATATTAATTAGTTTCAAAATTGGTGAATTTCATTTTTTTATAAAAACTAAAGATGATTGGATTACTCAATATTGGAGTTGGAATTTCCTACTATTTTATTTATTTATGTAGAAGGGCGTGTATCTGTTCATTCATTTCCGTTTTACTTTTTCTTCAATTAAAGTCTGTACACAGTAGTATAGCTAGAAGTATGAGTAACTGATTGGACCACTGTGCAGCCTCCAGTGCAAACAACAAAATCAGGGTTGGCGGCGGCTGGTTCCGCCTCACTCTAGGATACTTAAATTATTAAAAACTAATAACATATGATGTCAGGGCTCAGAAGTTCAGTTTGGCTGCAGCAAGCCAGGCTACATACTGATCAACCCTCGTCCAATTACGTGTATCAGAGAGCCTGAGTGTAAGGTGGTGAAGCCACTTGGTCTTGCGTCAGGGAGAATACCAGACTCTGCCATCAACGCTACTTCCGAGAGGTTAGTCATAAGTCTGAACATTTTCAATTTAATAAGTATAAAATCACGTGAAAAGTGCTCAGAACACAAAGCACACACAAGGGGGTTTCCCTTTTCTTGTTTATTTTCATTGTTATTTGTACAGAAATTAAAATATGAATTCTAGTTATTCAAAAGTAAATAATGGTTAGTTGTGTCTCATCTTTGACTTTTGATGGATATTTAGACCTCCCATCCCTTTTTGTTAAATTTGTACGTAGTTTTAGAATGAAATAATGTAGTTGAAATGAGCAAAGAGGTATGATATGTGGATTACTGATTTCTGTCCTTTACCAACACTTTTTAAACAAGCCAATCTTAAAAGCAACCTTTACTGTATACCTTGGAATTTTATATGGCACATCAAGTAGTTCCATAAAGAAATCTAGGAAACCAAATTTTGATAGCAACACACTCTGTAACCAGCTAATTTTTATTTGAATAACAAATTGGCTACAGCTGGATCATATGGATGGAATGTCTACTTTAAAATCAAAGTCATTGGTAATAGGCAAAAGAATCATGTCTTCTAACTGTAAAAGAAGTAAATAAGAAGCACTTCTCTTGTCTCTTGTCTATTTTCCAAGGTAGTTGTACACATATTTTAGTCACACAAGATTAGGTAAAAATAAGTTTTGTTATATGTATAAACAATATTTTAATTTTTCCAGACCAAACTATGAAGCTCGCAACATTCGTCTCAACTCAGTCACTGGATGGTGTGGAAAGCAAGAAGCTTTTACTTACGTCAGTGTAGATTTGGGACAAGTCTTCAGAGTCAAGGTAAGTTCATTTCTTCAAATCCAATTCATTTAAATGATTTAAAACGTGTTTTGTTATGTTGCACACTTTTATTAACATTTATCACTTGTATACAATGGTCATATCTCTCTGTTCAGGCCATTTTAGTCAAGGGAGTAGTTACCAACGACATTGTTGGTCGTCCAACTGAGATTCGATTCTTCTACAAGCAAGCAGAGAGTGAGAACTATGTTGTTTACTTCCCTAACTTCAACTTGACCATGAGGGATCCCGGAAACTACGGAGAGTTAGCGATGATTACTCTGCCGAAATACGTACAAGCTCGATTTGTGATTCTTGGTAAGTCAAATACTTTGTGCTTTAGTTATTCAAATATTAAATTATCTGTAGGAATTTATTTTAGTTCAAATTTGGTTGTTGGTGAAAAATCTCAGCACAATAGTTTATATTTCAACTCATTATTCCTTGTTATTATGTAATTTTGTCATAAATAATTCCGTAACTGTCTTCAAAACAATAAACATCAATGTTGTTGGCTGGATTCAAAGACTAACTACAAAAATTTTTTAAAGTTTATGTACAATAGTAATAAATATTTTGATCATTTGCAGGTATTGTCAGCTACATGGACAACGCTTGTCTAAAGTTCGAACTGATGGGATGCGAAGAGCCAGCTACTGAGCCTCTTCTGGGTTACGACTATGGCTACTCTCCTTGTGTTGGTGAGGGATTAAAATTATTTTGTAGATTGTTGGATTTTAAATAAAAGACAATAGTGTTCTGTATAGTATACAAATGAGACAATAAATGGTAAACACTATTCACATTGTCCTTACCGCAAAGAGCAAGGATGAAATCTTAAACTCCTGCATTGCGACAAATATTGATTACAAAACCAGGTTTAACTGAAAAAGGTGTTTTGCTTACATAAACTTTATTTTACTATGACATGTAATACTTACTTACTGTTTCATCATTTATTATTTTGAAAATATTTTTTATGGAACATTGTTTAAATATCGTGTACAATCTGTATCAATTCAGCAAACAAATTTTGAAATTTTTTATCAACTGAAACCTTTTCCAGACAATGAGCCACCAGTATTCCAGAACTGCCCCCAGCAGCCGATCGTCGTCCGCAAGGGCCCTAACGGTATCCAGTCCGTCAACCTAACAGAGCCGGTAGCTATTGACAACAGTGGCGCCATCGCACGTCTGGAGGTCAAACCTCAGAGCTTCCGAACTCCGCTCACCACCTTCAAGGACATGGCTGTCAAATATGTGGCGTTTGACTTTGACGGCAACGTCGCTATCTGTGAAATCAACATTACTGTTATTGGTTAGTGCCTTTTGTTATGGTAAAACCTCCTGGATTAATATCTCTAAAAAATTCATCTCTTGTTTGCCTTAGAAAAGGTTCAACCTCAGTAAAAATAAATGGGGAACAAAATCATAAAAAAAATTCAGATTGAATAATGACTGGGTGTTATAACATCCCAGAGATTTGTATACTTGGGTACTTCCTTTTTCTCCAAATTGCATTTTCTGTCACTTTACTTTACACTAAACTTCAATATACATTGAAATCAAATCGTCTACTGTAAGTTATGTTTTCATTGTCTAATTTAACCAGATATAAGTCTTGTAAGGGTAATTATTAAATCTTATTTCAGATGAGACCCCGCCTATGCTGAGTTGCCCTCAGAGCTATGTCATAGAGCTGGTCGACAGACAGGACAGTTACGTTGTCAACTTCAACGAGACTAGACGAAGAGTTAACGCATCAGACGAGTCTGGTCCTGTACAAGTCACGTTTGTACCTGACAGAGCAACCATTCCCATCGGAGGCTTTGAAAACGTCACTGTCGTAGCGGCAGACAAATATGGAAACAAGGCTACTTGCCACTTCCAGGTGTGTAGTGTTTTCAATGATGATTTGACTATTTTTTGTACAAAAGTATAGTGTCATTGTGAATACTGTCTGACAAGTTAGAGAATGGTAAACTGGAATGGTTTTACTGATTGTTTTACGTAGTTAACACGTTCGCTGCTGACCGCTAGATGCAGGGACGGCACCAGGAGCTGAATTAACGCTCGCCGCTGCGTAAACATTGCCGCCAACACACTGAATTACAGTAAAAACAACCGTAGTTATACTGGATGGCAATGTTCTGCAATAAAACTGGCTTTGGACATAGTACTAAGTGATTCTGATAGATAGCAGCACTACCCAGGTTGCAGTTGAGTAAAGTAGTGTCGCTATCTAGCAGGAAAGAGGTGGGTTAAAGCCCTGTTCTAAACGACCCTGGTGGTGATTTTGGGAAACTATATTTTTTAGTGTCAGAAAAGTACGTCCCCACGAGCTGCAAAGAAATATAGGACGCTCCTGACGAGCTGGCTGATCCATGGAAATGTTAAACAACAATGAACTGTGACGTTCCGGAACGTTCCTAGCTCCTGGCGCCATGGCCCGGCTGACGTTCTGGAATGTCCTCAGCAGCGAACGATTTTAAGGAGAATATATTTTGGGGTTTTGGTTTAATTTGTTTTTGTCATGGAAGTTTGCCAAATTATCTGTTTTATTTAGTGAATGCAATCAGTGTTAAATACTTTATTTGATTTTTGTTTAAAACACATAATGGTTATAGATTCTTACTTTGACCCAGTACACCTAATTAAATCATCTTCGTTTTTAACAGGTGGCAGTTCAAGCAACACCATGTGTGGACTGGGAACTGAAGCCTCCGACCAACGGAGCTCTAAACTGTCTGCCTGGAGAGAAGGGACTGCAATGTATTGCAACCTGCAATCCTGGCTACAGGTATGCCAACAATTCAATTTTTCAACCTTTATTGGTCACTTGTAAAGTACATGGTTACCAAACACTTATTATCAAATACATGTTGTAAATGTCAATTATTATGGTTGAATTGGATCGCTTAAGAGACAATCTGCTTTTCAATTAAAGTAGTAATTGGTTTTAATTATATTTTGAAGATGATTAGTGCCTCTTATTAATTGTTTTATGTTGTCGAAGGTTTACTGATGGAGAACCAGTCAAGACCTTCTCCTGTGAGTTCAAGAGTCCCTGGACTCCAACCTCTGTTGTCCCTGACTGTGTGTCTGAAGGTATGATTAACTTAGCTGAGTAGTAAATAATTTGTAAAACTCTTTTGGTACTCTGCAACAGGACTTAATACTTGAGAGATAAAATTCCTTCATTTTGAATGATGATCCTTGAATCTAAAATTATTTATATTCTTAACTGATTCTTACTTTGGTCTGAAGCTGATTGTTTTAAAAGTCTCTTTGTTAAAATATTCTCCTCTGAAAGACACGAGGCATATTTTTAGGCAGGAGTAAATTAAAGATGAGTAAAATGCCACGTTTTAGTTTTTTTTTGTAATATCAACTACTTTTTGCAAAGATGTTATATAAAAGCACAATGATCAGAGGCAGATATGTCCTGTTTTTAAACTTAAAAAACCGAGGTCCGCTCAAATCCTCACATAGAATTCTACTAACTCTCATCTCATTGTTCACACAGATACACAGCAGGCTGAGTATCACGTGATTGCGACTGTCATCTACCGAGCTAACGGCGCCGTCGCACCAGCATGTCTACCTGAATACACTCATCTGATGGCCAACTACTACCAGCAACTCAATGACGTCTTGAGTCAACGCTGCTCAGCCGTCAACGTAAACATGAACGTTTCCTTCATCGGTGAGAAGCCTATACTGCTTGAGGACAATCTTGTACAGGTATGTTTTTGTTTTGATTATTTAACACGTGTGTTAAAGTATTGCTTTGGATCTATAGATGCTTTTATAGGTTTACTAGCTGTTACCCACGGGCTTCACCCCGTTTGACTTCATAAGTATTAATAACATTATTGATTGGTTATATTAAGCTGAAATAAACAAAACAGAATACAGAAATACAAACAAATAAGTATAGACCAGGTATTTTAACATTAGGTATATGGAAAGTTCCCTTTAGAAAGGAATTACGACCCTGACCTCAAAAGTTGTCCAACATCTGGAATTGTTAGTTTTAATTTTGAATTACTTTTAATTATCTTTTGGCATACCTTATGTACTTGTAACGGTATGCTTTATGTGGTTCCATTCTGTTATTTAATTTGTAGCACTAGTTTTTAAAGTTGTCCTTGTTCTCATTTTCCCTCCTCCTCCCCCTCCTGACAGCAAAAATCACATTTTCAGGTTTTGGAAAAATGTTGATTTTAGTCTCAAGAGAGGTCCCGGGCTGGGGACCGGTTTAGCGGAGTTAAAAATGTGTTGGCCCTGAAAAGGGCCGTTTGGCCAAGAGCTCGTACGTCACTTGGCAGATGGGGGTCCTCAACCTCTAAAAAAAAAACTTTAATGTTGTTCGTGTCGTAAGCATGAGAGCTGACAATGTTCCTGTCGTAAGCGTAAGAGCTGACAATTTAAATTGTACAAATTGGAACAATAATAATACGAACAAACCTAAAGGTTGAGCCCGATCTGGTACGCTCTCGAAGGTTTGGCTGTGGTGAAGTTTCTTGAGCTTCCTCCGCGTCCTCCACCGAGGTGTCAAGAACCTTACAACAGTCAAGCGCTTCCAGAGCTACCTCGTCAGGTAAAGGCCACCCATCCACAACGTTTGTAGCAAACGGGCTTCTCAACATATTTAGCTCTAAGTAAAATATATGTTTACAGAGTGAAATATATTGAGAAACAGAACTTTTAGTTTCCATGGTGAAATATTTATTTTATTTTCATTGTTAAAATGGATACTTTTATAGTACTTTATTTTGAAATGGCGACCATATGAAAGTAGGTATTTTAAGCCAAGTATGGATGGAGATGAGTGGCCGATCTTGTAGTCTTGTTAGTGACTAAGGCCAACATATTCCTTAAACAAAGCTGTTAATAGCCCATACAGCCAATGGCAACTAAGGGACATACCATAATGGAATCCAAACCACATTTTTGCCTTGTAATTAACGAAGTGGTCCTAGAATGATCTTAGATGTAATATTTTCATTATTGATGTTAGCCTCCGGATTGCCAAATAATATTACAAAAGGTTTAAACACCTGTTATTAATTAAGCAATCCTTTTAAATCAAACAACTACTATAATTTTAGCCAACCTATTTAAAACAATAATCAAGTTCAATTCATTTATTTCTTAAACATTTAATTTTTTAATAGTTAATTACAGCAAAATAGTAATTGTGATACTTAATTTTTAGACCTTGATCGGCGTTAGATTTTAAGAAACTTATTTTAAAAAGGCAGCTCATCCACTAATGACAGATCACATTTGAGTTTTGCAAGAATTTGTTAGCCAAGTTTATCTTCTGTTTTAATGTTAAGTGCCGCTATCATTTGACCCTTGACTTATATGAATAAACTATTTTTCTACTCTGAACTTTGTCTCCATAACTTGATCTTTTGTAACTTATTCAAGATATTGTAGGGACTATAATTAATTTTAGTTCCATAGATAAGTAGTACCATAGTATAAAATTATGTAGTCGCATATCCCAGCTTTTAAGTACTATTTTTTTTTTCAAAAAATAATTTCTTCATCTGCATCGCACGTGTTATCGAATTTACAGAAAGTAAATATAAATAAGTTTAACATTCTTGAAACATAAAGTATTTTACCTTATTCTTTTAAATAGCAAGACAGTAATCTTATTCAGACTACTGATCATAGACGGCGAATCGCCTATTGGGTCTGATGATTATTGGATTGTCCAGTCAAAATTGATCACCTTTACCATTTTTTATATGTACTAGTGTACATGTTGCTCGAAATCGAGCAATTGCAAAGAAGTACAGGAGTTACATATAAACAAATGACTCGTTAAAAAACTAATAACAGTAATAATTTCCGATGATTTTAAAAGAGTCAACTAAAAGATTATTAACTAATGGAAATACTCACAATTTACATAACAGTCCTATTCCAGTTTAAAGGGTTATTTTTTAACTATCAAACTGCCCATGGTCGGGAAATGGTAAGCTTACAATTTAAGTCAACATAAAAAGTCTGTCAGCTTTTATAATTTACTGTACCTAAGTTATTTAGCCAATTTGTAGACAATAAGGTGTAGGCTACAAACTCTACAGAACTCTCATGCTTCCATGGGGAGCAATTACTTATTAATATTTAATTCCTGACAACAGCTGGAGTTTCAAAACAATGTTTGTTTCCCATGTTAATCTTATGGAGAAATACGAAACTTTAAAGGGTCCCAGGGCCTCACTCTCTAATTATTTACCTAAAAAGAAAGTTTCCTGCACAACTTCACGTTACGGTCTTTCCAATGACACCAAAAACATGCCAATCGGTTCAGTAGTTTCGGAGGAGTAATTGTCACAAAAATCCTGCTTGCGTATTAAATAAGTATAGATGTTGATTTATAACAGTATAATTGTAAATATATGTTTCAACAGTGATATTAGACATATTTATATTAATCAACATTTTTTTTAGACATTGAAGAGTAAAAAGTATTTGAATAAAATGATAAATAGCCGATCTACTGTGAGGTGGTCCTATTATTTGTTGGACAAGTGGTTTTGAACATAAATGATGCATTTTTTATTCAAACACTTGTTTTAGTCTACATGCTAAGGAGTGATCCAGGCAAGGGATTAGATAAGCACGTTTATTAGAATCGCCTAGTACTTTCTATGTGGACTTCTTGAACCTAATGAAAAAGGCGAGGTAGGGAAGAAACCAACGACAAGATAGCAGCTAACATTACAATTGTGTTTATTACCTAGGAGAAACTATGGTAACATTGTCTTTAAACATGTGACTGTCCACTTCTATTTTGATTTGTTGTAATGAAAATAAATGTGTCAGTTTTCTTCCATTCTCCCAACACAAGCCAGTTATTTATTATACTAGCTGTACCCGCGGGCTTTGCCCCGTTTAACTTCATAAATGAGCTCGTTCGCATGGCTCAATCACGTCCTGTTTTGAAGTTCGTTCGCTACGCTCACTCACCTTTAGGTTGGAGCTCGTTCGCTGCGCTCACTTGTCTTCAGGTTAGCTCGTTCGCTACACTAACTCGCCTCCAGGTTGAAGTTCGTTCGCAACGCTCACTCACCCTTTTTTGGTAGCAAATTAGCTGTTGTCATTTAAATAAATAAAAAACAATAGTGCTGCACCCTGTTGGTAATCCTTGTAACTTTAATGCTATTGAACATCATAGAAATAGAACCAACTTATTTAATTGAAACAGCTGTTAAGATTCATTAATTCCATTTAAATATGAGTACTCATAAGGTTAACATGGGAAACTCCAGAGCCACTGGGGCGGAGCCCGAGAGTCTGATCAGAATAAAAACCACGTAGTTTTCCTATTTAATGCCTAAAGAATCAGTGTAGCAAATTTCAGCCTCCTAGGTAAATGGGAAGTAAGAGAATTAGTGATGAGTGAGTGAGTGAGTCAGTGAGGGCTTTGCCTTTTATATATATAGATTAGCTGTCCTTCAACATTAATTGCTTCCCTTAATAGCTCTTGATGGCTAACAGATACAATCAAATTCTTCGATGCCTGTTTTGCGTTTATGTGTTGGTGATATTGCTTTGGTGGTTTAGTTTGATTAATCAAAACAATCTTATAATTTTTAATATCATACTTGGAACCTCTATATAGCAACACTTCCTGCTAAAAAAACTACTCCAGTAACTTGCTCATGTTGGAGCAACTATATAGCGTTAAAAACCAAACAAAATTGTACATTGAATGCAATTTAGAACTTTTTTTCAATTTTACCCTTTGAACTTCAAAACTATTTATATTTAACTAGCTGTACCCGCGGGCTTTGCCCCGTTTCCCGTTCGCATGGCTCAATCACGTCCTGGTTGAAGTTCGTTCGCTACGCTCACTTGCCTTCAGGTTAGCTCGTTCGCTACGATAACTCGCTTCCAGGTTGAAGTTCGTTCGCTACGCTCACTCACCTTTTGGTGGAAAATCGGCTGTAGTCATAAATTAAAAAAAAATAATAGTGCTGCACCCTTTTGGTCATCCTTGTAACTTTAATGCTACTGAACATCATAGAACAGAACCAACTTGTTTAATTGAAACAGCTGTTAAGAAATTCCTTTTAAATATGAAAAATCATAAGGTTAACATGGGAAACTTCAGAGCCACTGGGGCGGAGCCCGAAAGCCCGATCAGAATGAAAACTACTTAGTTTTCCTATTTAATGCCCAAAGAATCGGTGTATCGAATTTCAGCCTCCTAGGTAAATGGGAAGTGGGAGAATTAGTGATGAGTGAGTGAGTGAGTGAGTCAGTCAGTGAGGGCTTTGCCTTTTATATATTTAGATATATTTTGTTGAATGCATCAAAAGGGTGTTTCTAATTAGTTATTGAGTTTTTTTTTTTTTTGTACCGAAGTTAGCTTTTCAATTTTTGTTGTTTCCTGTTTATCTCTTTCCATTTGTAGTTATGACACTTCAAATGAGAAAAATATTAGTAAGTTTTGGTGCATCTTAATAGCTCTATAGTTCTATTCCCAATATTACACACCTTAATTTGCCGTAGCACTTTCTTCATAGTTTTACTTTTTAGCCCTCCTGTCAATGGAAAGTCAATGTCACTTGTAAGTTAACCACACATTTACAATTTCCAGATTGACTTCTCCCTGGTGGTGTTGCCGGCGGTGCGTCAACCTCAGTTGTACGATCTCTGCGGCTCCACTCTCAACCTCATCTTTGACCTGTCAGTGCCGTACGCGAGCGCTGTCATCGACCCCCTCATCAACGTGTCGGCCATCGGTAACCAGTGTCCGCCCATCCGAGCCCTCAAGTCCACCATCAGCCGAGGGTTCACCTGTAACATCGGGGAGGTTCTCAATATGGACACCAACCAAGTGCCTCGATGCTGTAAGTCTTGGCATTTAATTTGATGATATTTTTGTATCATGATGTAATTAGTATTTGAGCTTGACCACCTACTTTCCCTTTTTTTCTGATTCCATATTACTTATTCTTGTATTTCACAGTTTTACCATCAAACTGAGGCCACAGTAGCTCGGATATTTGATAAAAAATCTATTTCTATTGTTAATTTTCAATTTTTGTTGTATTTTCTCTTTCACTTGATGCAGTCAAATCAATTATTAAATGTAGGAGGAAACTTATATTTATTTTAAGGTTTAAGTTAGTACTTTGCCTCTCTATTAGTCAGGCTCGTGGTTTGCATGTACTGTGCTTTGGGGATAATTGTGCCCTCTCCACCTACTTTGTCGAGGAATTTTTCTCTTCCTTCTCCCCAACAAACCTGAAGCCTCTTGCGCCCCTGGGCCCATTTTTAAAAGCGGTCCTGCTGTCAGTTATTCTTTATTGATCAAAAGGTTTTACACAGTTGAATAATAATGTATTTTAAATATCTAGTTCACTGCAATCTCGTTAAGTTACAAGCTTATTCTGTTGCAGTGCACTGTCCTGCTGGTACATTTGCTGGAGTGAAGGCCAAGACCTGCACATATTGTCCTCGAGGTTTCTACCAGGATCGCGACAGACAAGGAGAGTGCATACGTTGTCCGCTGGGCACTTACACTCAGGAGGAAGGTAAACTATTCTGTCTGCGCTCGTTTGTGTCATTCTCCTTTATAGACTATTCTCATAAAACTAGAATAAAAAAAAACAATTTTTGTTATATTCTGTGCTTAGGGATTTTAAACAGTCTCGCTTTCCCAAACATAGATAAACTTACACTCAGTTTATCCTTTGAATGCTTGTTTAAACCGCATTACTTTTCCAACTGTTTTGTGATAGTAGTTTAGGTTTACATATTCACTAGGCCTACTGGATGCCGCGAGAATATACAGGCAGTAGGGAACGTTTCAAACCTGATATTTCTCCGTAACAAACTGTGTAGGCACTACTTATATGTATACAGTGGAACCTAGATAACAAGACCCTCGATGACAAGTGACTCGCTTGATAACATTGTGTAATCTCACAATTAGATCAATTAGATTTGATTTTTCCCCTTATCACATGTAATTGCAAACCCCGATAAGAAATCAACCTTGATATTATTTAATAAACCCAACGAGAGTCTTATTATCGAGGTTCTACTGTACCATATTGTCTCCAATTTTAGCTCCAAATTCATATCATAAGTAAAGTATAAAGCATCTTTTACTTTCCTCTGGGTAATGGTTATTTTTTATATTGTCATTGTTACGCTTGGCCAACAAACTGTCAGATGAGTTAAATTAGGGTTTAAAGCAGAGTGAAATATTGACTAGATTTGTGGAAAGCGGGCTTGGGAGATCTATTTGATTAGTTGGAAGAACAAGTAGGCCTATAGTCAAACAAATCATGATAAATTTTGTTTGATTTTAAAATTGAAAGCTAAAACTCTTTAGAGCATTTACTTACATGTTTCAAAATGCAATACCTAAGCATCAAAATCTCACGTTGTTATTTCTGTTTACTCAACATTGTGATTGTGTGCAGGATCCAAGAGTGTGACAGACTGCGTGCCGGTGTGCGGCTACGGTACATACTCCCCCACCGGTCTGGTGCCGTGTCTGGAGTGCCCCCGCAACAGCTACACAGGGGAGCCCCCCACGGGAGGTTTCAAGGACTGTCAGGCTTGCCCCGCCAACACTTACACGTACCAGCCTGCCTCTCCTCACAAGGAGTTCTGTAGATGTAAGTGTTTGAGAATAGTGTTACATAGATATGGAACATTATGTTTACGAGATAGGGAACAACAGATTTATATGGACGAGCTTTTGCAAATTTTAAATTTCAAATGGAAGATAGTTGAATGAGACCCTGACAGAGTGTGTTTCAGTCTAAATTATAATTTCTTTCGTAGTCCTTGTTACTGTGATAGTTCATGGAATGCTATAGTTTACAAAAAGATTTCCTTTTAGTTGGGCTTGAGATACAAGTTGGTGTACACGACTAAAACCAGTGATTGACAACAGCACACTTTCTCGAGGACTCCAACATGGGAATGGAATATCTAGATCCATCCATAGTCAATAGTATTACTTTAGGAAATGATAATCGATAAGTAAAGAAATGGAAACCACTAAACCAGATTATTTATTGAAATATTCATAATTTACAGTACTGAACACTAATCACCGCTATCAACATTGGCTTGCATCTTCTGTAACTCTACCGTCATTTAACAGGCTCATGCTGAATACATATAACAAGCCATATCTGTGTTACAGCCAAATGCCCACCAGGACAGTTCTCAGACACCGGTCTGGCGCCGTGTTTCCCTTGTCCCACCAACTTCTACCAGCCTCTGAGTGGACAAACAGTGTGTCTAGAGTGCGCCACCAACACCAAGTCTGCTGGTCCCGGCGCAGCATCACGGGACGAGTGCTCTGCCATACAATGCACGGAGAACTCTTGCCAGCACGGTGGACTGTGTGTGCCCATGGGTAGGTGAAATTATTGCTTGGTTAGCAATTAATTATTTAATTGAGAGCTAGACATGATTTATATTTATTGAGTTTTTAGGTTAGGGGAGGCGTATATTAAACCCATTTTTTTATAAATCAAGATGTTTCAGTTCTCATTAATCCAATATAATCTAATATTCAATGACAATATACGGATTTAAAAAATCATAAAAACGTAATTCAAAATTTTTTTTCACTAACAATTGTTTTTTTTTCAAGCAAAAACAAGACAAATTTATCAATATAATAATATATTAATCCCTTCTTGTTCCACAGGTCACACGGTTCAGTGTTTCTGTCCTGCTGGGTTCTCCGGTCGCAGATGTGAGATTGACATTGACGAGTGTGCGTCTCAGCCTTGCCACAACGGAGCAATGTGCATCGACCTTCCTCAAGGATATAGGTGTCAGTGCAAGTCAGGTAGGTTTCACATAATATCTACTTATCACTCAATATCTACTTATCACTCAATATAGCCTTGCAAAATGTGTTATTGGTTTTAATTTCAAGTATTTTCCACTTTTCATTTCAATATGTAAGAATAAGTTATAATTTTTCCCCTCATCTGAGTTGTTTATGCTTTGTTTTGCAGGATACAGTGGCATCAACTGCCAGGAAGAGAAGTCCGATTGTCGCAACAGCACTTGTCCTGAGAGAGCCATGTGTAAAGACGAGCCTGGTATGAACAACTACACGTGTCTCTGTAGATCTGGCTACACTGGAGTCAACTGTGACATTACGGTAGGTGTTAGGTTAGGGGAAGAGTGTATTAAACCCATTTTTTATCATTTACCCATGCACACAGGGTAACATATTACAAGTCACTGTGTGTAGTGCTTGATTTTTATGATTTGAGATACCAGGACTGAAATACTATATCTATAGTATTCTCCGATTCTCCGATCCAATCTCCATCCTTCATCCCCCAAAGATAATTTTACTTAACAGCACAAAAATCAAATTAACAGCATCAGTATTTTTTTTTGCAAATTACTTCCCATCTCAATTCATGAATCTGTATCATGAATTGAGGATGTGGAAGTTATGTCTTTAAGCATTTCAATTAATATTGAAAATTGTTAACTCTTCTACCATAATTATGTTTTATAACATTCTCAGACATCTAACAGTTGGTGTGTTCCAGATCAACCCATGTACAGCAGCTGGAAACCCTTGTCAGAACGAGGCGTCGTGCGTCGCTCTGCAGCAAGGAAGATACAAGTGCGAATGTCTGCCAGGTTGGGAGGGTCAACATTGTGAGATCAACACTGGTGAGTATTTTTGGAGTAAAAGGATGTTTCCTTATGTGGTTGTGAGTAACATAAGTTATATTAAGTATAAGAATGTTATACTAATGGGTAGCTTAGCTGCAAATCTTATTTATTTGGATACTAAGCTTACCAAGAACTTTAGATAGTAGTAACCTCACCACCGTTTTTCCTACAGACTCAATTGTACTTCTATTCTACTCTTTTTCGGTTTTGTTTTTTTAGCTGGTCCCCTCATTCTTTCTTTGATCAAGCTATTGCCCGCCTCTTGGTTTGTTTTGTAAAATTTTGTATAACCAAGACTTGACTTGACCTTCTTGGTGGTAAGTCAAGAGCTATAATCTTTTCTTCTTTCTCTACTAGGTAGTGATAGCATTGAGTAAATAATAACTGTGCAAAGAGACTAGCAATTCTTCATCCGAAACTAGTTAAGCCCCTGATGTCCTAACAACCTTAAGTTTGAATTTTTACACTTATCGACACTAGAAAAATTGAATTTTTTCTGCAGACGACTGTGCTGAGAAGCCGTGCTTGCTGGGAGCCAACTGCACGGACCTTGTGGCTGATTTCAAGTGCGATTGTCCGACCGGCTTCACAGGAAAGCGTTGTCAGGAGAAGATTGACCTTTGTTCTGGCAACCCTTGCAAACATGGCAGCTGTGTGGACAAGTTCTTCAGTCACCAATGTATCTGCGATCCAGGATGGACAGGTAAGATCTTGTTTTGTCGACAACATAACCTCATTATCTGTCAGCTGTTTAAAAGGTAATAAAGGTTCTTTTTTACAGAAAGTTCTACCTAATGCAATGTTAATTTTTACTGATGGACAGTCACAATAAGTTTTTATTGTGTTTTTCATTCAGTTGGTTATTTTATTTTTATGAAGATGACTGATGCAAACAGCCAGCTCACCTTTTTTCACACTCTTACCGTAGCTTCAAAGTGGAATTTATAAGTTAGTGAGTGAAGTTTTTTAACAAAAACTCAAAGGAATATGGTATTTATTACTCAACGCATTGAACTTCTTTATATTTGCACATGATCATCATGATATAATTCATTCATGTCTATAATTTTTATCTATCTATTCAAGTTCTTAGAGACAGTTATATGTTGAAATCTACTAAATGATCAAAAATTTAGTATCAAACATTTCAACATCAAACATAAAAATTACATCTTAAGCAACAAAATTGTTTTTTAAGAGTATTCAGTAATAATAAGTACATCACATGATCGGCTTATCAAATGTATACACTAACCTGGCTAACATTTTTCAGGCGAAGCTTGTGAGACAAACATCAACGAGTGTAACAGTCATCCTTGTGAGAACGGAGGTCAGTGTACAGACTTGATAGACGGGTTCTCCTGCGCCTGCGAGCTCGGCTACACGGGCAAGAGGTGCCAACACCTGATTGATGACTGCGCCTCCGAGCCTTGCCAAAACGGTGGAACGTGTATGGACATGCTGGATGGCTTTGCTTGCAAATGTCGTCCTGGATTTGTTGGTAAGTTGTTGCATAAACACATATCTAAATTAGTAGTGATTTCATTCAAAACCAGTATAGTTTAAGACTAAAATGCATTGTACTAGCCCACAACTATGATATTGACTAATAGAAATTTACAATAGTACCGAGCAGAGTCTTACGTGTTTCCGTAGAGTTCCATTTTTTAAGACCTTCGTCCAAGAAATATCTTATACCTGCTTGAGTAGCTACACTGATGGCTTACACATATATTCCACAAACAAAACATTGAAACTAAATTCAATACTTTTGTTATACTAGGCTAAAAGTAACATTTGCAAAGTCTACAAGTAGGAATAAGATTGTTGGTGGATTCAAGTCAAAACCCTATCAGGAACATTTAAGTCAGATAGTTATATAATGCACTCATGTGTACTCATTGTAGTAAAGTGTAATCAATAATTTGTTCTCCGGGCTCACCAATATACTGTAAAAGTGTTAAATGCACGAGAGGAAATTTAACTACATATACTAATAAGAATAACTATTGTTTTAGGACTACAGTGTGAAGCGGAGATTGACGAATGTCTCAGCGACCCTTGCAGTTCTGAAGGAACAGAGAAATGTCTTGACTTGGACAACAAATACGAGTGCCAGTGTCGCAACGGTTTCATTGGCTCACTGTGTGAGGTGTGTATTGTGTCTAACTTGCACACATAACTTACATTCTTTCAACAACAATAGTTTGAATAGAGACCAGGACTTAGACTGTTCTCTTACAAAAACTTTTAAAAATTGACAAAACAAACTATAATTACTCTAAAAAATCAAGACACTAAAGTCATAGTACAATTTTTTTTTGGAGTGGGATACAGCCTTTCCTCGCTATTTTTACCAATGTGTTTGATCAACTTCGGCCAGCGCAAGTTAGAAACAATCTTAATAAATTAGCCAAAACTTTTCCATTGATTAGAGCATTCTGGTGTTCAATAACGTTAATTCAAAATTTTAAATGAAATATTATTTAGTCTAAGAGTCGAGTTTTTCTCAACTAAAATTTTTAAATCCCATCATGTAACTGTACAGATCAACATCAACGACTGTGCGTCCTCACCTTGTCTGAACGGAGGAGTTTGTCGTGACGGAGTAGCTACATTCCACTGCGAGTGCGAGGCCGGCTGGACTGGACAGCGATGTGAGACAGACATCAGCTCCTGCCAGACAGAACCTTGCCAAAACAACGCCAACTGTATCAACCTCTTCCAGGACTTCTTCTGTGTGTAAGTAAACTTTACATTGACAAATAAAAAGATTTGAAAATGTCAGATATCTCTGTAAGCATAATTTGAAAAAGAATTTTGTATCAATACAATTAAATTCAAGTTTTGATTGAGAAGAGGGTGTACCTTATCCCTGGGCGAGGCAGAGATATTCTCTCACCTTATTCAGAGCTGTGCATAAAGTAAATGGACTGCAGTCCCACAGTCTCCTCAGACTGGTGTAAAACTGTATTTAATTCATTTCCAGAATGTTGATTAATAATTTATTATTGAATGGCAGAGTTCTCTGAGATGTCGCATATTAAGATTGTTAACCCGTTGACGCAGCAATATTTAAAAACCAATGTTTTTTAAAGGTTAATTTAGTTGATATCTTACTAGCAGAGTGAAACTAAAGCCTTTAAACAACACTATCACTCGCAGTTACTATGCTATTCACCCTTTTAGCGCCATTAGGACCGCTGTCTCGCAGCTAAATGCGATGACAAGCTACACTCTGTCAATGGATTAGTACATAATAGAGAAAGATAAACCTTTGGTCATGCTCTGTATTTAATGCAACACAATTATAAATTTTTCTTGCTATAAAACTTACTTCCAGGAGAAATTTGACCTGTAAATAGCTCAGGTCTCATAAAACTGTGTTGATAAAAAACCTTCCTTTGTTGGACATCGAGTAGGCCTACGGTTAAATATTATTCATTTCTTACAAAACACTTTAGATTTTTTATACAATAAAGAGAATGAATGCAATCAACATTTTCATTTATTCTCATCATCTAACCGTACTCAATAGAAATATTGTATTGAGAAGCGCTCAAGAATAAAGGCATTTTGATTTGATTTGATTTGATACTTGTTCTCCTCAGGTGCCCTTCAGGAACGGATGGCAAGCAGTGTGAGACAGCCCCTGAGAGATGTATCGGCAGCCCGTGCATGCACGGTGGCAAGTGCCAGGATTATGGCTCCGGCCTCAACTGCACTTGTCCGGCAGACTACAACGGCATCGGCTGTCAGTATGAGTTTGACGCTTGTCAAAACAACGTGTGCCAGAACGGAGCTACTTGTGTTGATAACGGCCCTGGATACACGTGCATTTGTCCTCCTGGCTTTACAGGTTTGACCTCAATTTTTTTGTTTGTTTCACAACTGTAACCTTATCTATATATTTAATACACAGTTGTAACACTGTTTTCTCAGTAATTACTGGACCGATCTACAAGATTTATGTCTCAAATTAAAGGGGATAGTGTGTAGATTTGCCGAACTTCCTTAGAATTTACGTTTTTTCTATGGGCTACGACCTACAGCCCTTTTAAGGTCGAGTCAATACAATTCTTATTGAAGAATATAATACACAGTTTATAAATTATTCGTCAGCTGTTTAATGTTTGTAAGACATTTGTTATTATTTTTATAACCTCACTTTCAGTATGCAATTATTAAACTTGGAGTTTCTGTTTATAAACACACGATTTTGATCAAGGAAAGTGTATTTGTTAACTTATTTTTGAAATGTTTTAGTTTTCCTGCAAAGTGATCTGAAGGAAAGTGGTAATCTATATATTTAATACACAGTTGTAACACTGTTTTCTCAGTAATTACTGGACCGATCTACAAGATTTATGTCTCAAATTAAAGGGGATAGTGTGTAAATTTGCCGAACTTCCTTAGAATTTACGTTTTTTCTATGGGCTACGACCTACAGCCCTTTAAAGGTCGAGTCAATACAATTCTTATTGAAGAATATAATACACAGTTTATAAATTATTCGTCAGCTGTTTAATGTTTGTAAGACATTTGTTATTATTTTTATAACCTCACTTTCAGTATGCAATTATTAAACTTGGAGTTTCTGTTTATAAACACACGATTTTGATCAAGGAAAGTGTATTTGTTAACTTATTTTTGAAATGTTTTAGTTTTCCTGCAAAGTGATCTGAAGGAAAGTGGTAATTGAGTTTAAGTTTGAGTATGGAATGTGAAATAATACCCATAATAGGGAACGGAAACTTATTGTTTTGATCAATATAATTTATTCTCTACGGCCACCAGAATAATCATGGGAAAATCCGCTTGCAAGTTGTACATATAATTGCTAATGAGTGGGAAACATACAAACATTTTATGGTAGGTGACGAATCTTACTCAAGATCAGTGTTAGACGTTCAGTGGTACCAAACTTTACCTTCTCGAGATGGCGAGTACGCAGGGATACGTGGAACTACAATATATCAGTGATTTTTTTTCAAGTACACAGGGAAGTTGATTGAGAAACTGTGACTTACCATTCGGTTCTGGCAAAGAAGTATGTGACTTGATGTTTAATGGCAATGTTGACTCTGGTTATTATAGCGTTATAAAACTTTATCATTAACCCCAGGGTGTGAAAAGTACAAAAAGAAAAAGAAAAGGTAATCATTAATCGGGCGTAAAGAGACATACCGAACGAAAAAAAAATGTAGAGAACCATCAAACTAAAAAGGTAAAGGTGTTGGTGTTAAATGTGCTCTGGGAGCCCTACAAAAAAATACCAACTCTTTTGAATTGGGGTCGTTAGATTGGATTTGTCACTACTTCAAATCTATGAATTTCGAGTCAGAACAGACTAACTTGGACACAAAAATGTTTTAGTTTTCCTGCAAAGTGATCTGAAGGAAAGTGGTAATTGAGTTTAAGTTTGAGTATGGAATGTGAAATAATACCCATAGTAGGGGACGGAAACTTATTGTTTTGATCAATATAATATATTCTCTATAGCCACCAGAACAATCATAGGGAAATCCGCTTGCAAGTTGTACAGATAATTGCTAATGATTGGTAAACATACTTAAAAATTTTATCGTAAGTGAATAATCTTACTCAAGATCAGTGTTCGACGTCCAAATTTTACCTTCTCGAGATGGCAAGTACTTTGGGATATTTGGAACTACAATTTATCAGTGAACTATACCCTAACTATATTTTTTCGAATAGGCCCACACAGGTTGCTTGAGAAACTGTGACTTACGATTTCGGTTCTGGCGAATAAGTATCTGACTTGATGTTTAATGGCAATGTTGACTCGGGTCATTATATCGTTATAAAACTTTATCATTAACCCCAGGATGTGAAAAGTACAAAAAGAAAAAGAAAAGGTAATCATCAACTGGGCGTAAAGAGACATGCAGAACGAAAAAACATGTAGAGAACCATCGAACTAAAAAGGTAAAGAGCAGTGATGGTGTTAAATGTGCTCTGGGAGTCTCTCTCTCTCTCTTGTCACTCTCTTTCAATACCCCTCTTCCTCCCCCATTTTCTCTTTCATTCTCTCACTCTCTCTCTCTCTCCCAACTCACATTCTCTCTCTCTCTTTTCAATACCCCACTTCCTCCCCCATTTTCTCTTTCACTCTCTCTCTCACTCACTCACAACCCCAAACATTCTCTATCCCTCTCTCTTTCATTTCCCTCTTCCTCATACATATACCCTTTCATTCTCTCTCTCTCTTTCATTCTCTCTTTCACTTTCAATAACAATAACTAACACCAACCCTCAATTTTCAATCAAAAATACCAATTCCATCACACTCACATCTAATTGAAAATTTTTAATTTCATTTCAATTCTCCATAAAATCATCTCCTTCTATAACTACTGGAGTCCCTACAAAAAAATACCAATTTTTTTTAATTGGGGTCGTTAGATTGGATTTGTCAGTACTGCAAATCTATGAATTTTGAGTCAGAACAGACTAACTGGGACACAAATATTTTTTCCTTATGTTGTCACAAGGGGAAGGTAAAATGAACTCCTTATCAACATTTTGAGTTTATGGAAAATCTTATCAACAGCGACTAGGATAAAAAAGTATTAAGGGTCAAAAGAGACAAAAAACTTTTTGAGTAAAATATAATACAAAACTGCATTTGAAATGGCCAGTTCTAAGTCTCACTTGAATCAACATCTTTCTGGTAGTGGTAGTATACATAGTTTTAAAATCCACGACTCCTTTTCCATCAAATTGGACCGTTAATACCCTCTAACATTGAACAAAGTATGCCCAACTTTATATATACGACGTAAACACAGCTTTTACTCACAGTATGGGTCAAGTATTCGTGAAATGCGACCAACTGCTGACGCGTGATTTACATGTAGGCTAAGTGACTATCTTTATTCCATACAACAAATGTAATGGAAAAAAACGACGAATATAGGAATATACTTGAGCAAATTATCTAAATAGCATAAATAGCTGCTTATTAGGTTATCAGCATTGCCCAGTAGCCCAGTGTGTATACTATTTATTTTTCAAATGAAACTCGAATTAATATAAAACATTCATTTGGTTAAAATAATATATCGGTTTGATTAATATAAAATAGTTTATACAGGCAAACTATCAGTTCTATTTCATGTAAAAAATTAAACAACCCCTAAATAAAATACAAAGAAAAAAGTATTTGTAAATTATTATTTCTTTTATTGCTGACAATATTCCCGTGGCGGAGCACGGGCGGTTAACTAGTTATTTTAAAAACTCATACATCCATCATTTATGAGTTTTTTCATGGAAAGCCAAGTGCCTAAGAGAGAACTATGCTCTTCAATCTAATCTCTGAAGAAGTCCTATTTTAGGACAAAATATTAGTTTTATATTTTTTTACATTTTCTTGTGTATCTATCCCTGGACTCTTTAACTTTCTCAAGTAGTGTAAGCCAGTTATTGTTTGTTAGTTACATAATGTGGTTTGATTCTCCAGGCCAAAACTGTGATGAAGACATTGTTGACTGCAAAGAGAACTCTTGCCCACCAACAGCGACCTGTATCGACCTTACTGGAGGCTTCTACTGCCAATGTCCATTCAACCTGACTGGTGATGATTGTAGAAAGAGTAAGTATATTAGTGCATAAATGGTTTTCAAATTGGTTCGAAATCATTTTACTATCTACTTTTCAATCTAGAAAATTATTTAAATGTAGAAATAGTTTTTACTTAAATTAATAGTTTAATGTCCTAAGCTTTATAGATCTTCAAGTTCATTGTAGAGGAATATTGGCTTATTGATGAAAACTCGCTCATACATAAAACTGCAAGAACAATCAGCTTGTATACTATTACAGTTCTATTTTCTAACAATTATTATCTCATTCTAGCAATCCAAGTGGACTACGACTTGAGCTTCACAGAGCCGACTGACAGCAGCGCAGCACTTGCTGTTCCGTTCCGTCTAGGAGGCAAGACCAGCCTGACCATCGCCATGTGGGTACAGTTCGCTCACAGAGACGAGCCCGGTGTCTTCTTTACTCTATACAATGTTGCGTAAGTAATATTTCTTTTGTTTGAAATTTGTTTACAGTGTAAGTTCTTAACATTCCAAAATCTATTTTTGACTGTTTAATAATGATTATCTAATATTGCATATTTCAAAAAAGCTCCATAACTTATATAGCTGACAACGTTGGGTACCTGAGTAATTTTAATGTGTGCCATCCATGAAAGGACACCGATTCAAACCTCAAAGTTATTATCTTTTTGATGGCTCCAAACTGATGGACCCAGCTATCATTGATCATTGGGTTTTCAACAAATAATACTGCCACTGGCTAAAGAAACAGCTGATATTGGTCAGTAACATAGCTCAAAGATCACCTCACTTCTACCATTGAATATACATAGACTATACTGTGTATAGTCAATGCTTCTACATCATATATATTGCATTCATATTCAGCATAAAATATGTACCTAGAAACCAAACTACTCATCTTTGTCCATTGTGTTGCTGTAGTTGTGTCATGGTTATTGTATCTATCATTGTGTTGGTTGTGTTTGCTGTCAAAAGGTTAATGATCCCATGTCTCTTACAGGTCGGGTCAGACAGCAGACAACAGACGTGTGATGGTGCAGGCGCACTCTAGTGGTGTGCAGGTGTCAATGTTCTCAGACCTTCCAGATGTGTTCCTGGCGTTCCAGGAATACGCCACCATCAACGACGGCAGCTGGCACCACGTGGCGGTCGTGTGGCACCAGGGAACACTCACACTCATCACTGAAGGACTCATTGCCAGCAAGGTGGAGAGCTACGGATCTGGACGGCAGCTGCCTGAGTTGTGAGTAACGTTGCATTTGACGTCAATGGGTTATTACCTCTTAAAAGTGCTCCAGTGCAGTGTTTATTAACCTGTGACATGCTACTAGAAGTGGTATGCAGAGACCTCTGATGAGACTAAAAATAATAAACAATCCTCATAATTTATTCATAATTACCTAAACCTGACCTATTGGTAAGCAAAATATTTTTGTCTTGTGAAGAGGTTTGTCAGCAAAAGAGATAGGAATCACTGCTCTAGTGTAGGCCTACAACCATGGTACTTTAGACATCCTTTCTCATCTTGGGATAAACACCATACTAAAACACCATTTGGCATTAGTATATTTTACCTAAAAATTTTTAGTAAAACTTTTTTATTTCTGAAGAGTGAGAGGTGCTAGAATGTGACTATATCATTGTGTGCCCCCTAAAAACAAGGTTTTGAAATGTATATACAATACATGCAAGTACACAGTTCAGTTAGCTCTAATTTTCCATTAAGTTTTCAGTTACCTACTTCATAGCCATACTTACATTTTATTGATTTAGTTTTGTTTATGTTTATTTACCATTTACTTAATCAACATTGTTTCTGTCCAGTGGCTGGGTAGTGTTGGGCAAACCCAAAGCTGACATTGTGAAGCCGTACACTGACTCAGGATTCCAGGGTCACCTGACCAAGGTTCAAATCTGGGGACGAGCATTGGACGTCACAAACGAAATACAAAAACAGGTAACGATATTTTTCGAATCAAAATATCTTTTTGTAAGTTAAATCAAGTATAGAAACCTTTTTAAATCAACTCATCTTGTTGCTGGGTATTTATTCTTTCTGTTTTCTCCAGGTCCGAGACTGTAGGACAGAGCCAGTGTTATACCAAGGGCTTGTACTAACGTGGGCCGGTTACGACATCATCCAGGGAGGCGTGGAGAGGAGAGTCCCGTCACATTGTAGCCAACATTCCTGCCCGAGTGGCTACACTGGTCCCCAGTGTGACCAACTGCAAGTCGACAAGGTAAAACTATGAATTTATGTGTCTTTTAATAACTCTTAACTTCTACACAAAATTTACTCAGAACGTCCAATGGTCTTAGCTAACAATGTACATTGCTGGTAATTTACAATGTTAGGTAATTTACTGGGACAGTAAATTACTTGACAGATTACAAATTCAGGGGGTATATAAAAACACCTGTAAATTAATAAGATGTACGTAAAAATTTTTGTCTGATACACTGATAGTGAAGAAGAAATAAAGAAAGGAGTAAAATCATGTTAACAACTTAGGTGGTTGAGTGTTGAAGTGAAGAAGGCATATCCAACATCCCAGTTGGAGGTCTTTTAGTTTTTGAAACTTGGTGAAAGACTTGAATTAAAATCAAAACTCTAATTATTGTAATTATTATTGTAATTGTAAGTATTTAATGAAAAGGATTAAAAAGATTTAACTACCCGTTTTGCATTAACAAGTATTGACCAGAGAGTTAATTTACAGATTCCACCACAAGTGGAGCACTGCCCGGGAGATCTGTGGGTGATAGCCAAGAACGGCACATCAGTCGTGACATGGGATGAGCCTCAGTTCAGTGACAACGTTGGCGTTGCTCGCGTAGAGGAGCGCAGCGGACACCGGCCCGGCCAGACACTACTGTGGGGAACCTACCACATCGCTTACGTTGCCTACGACACGGCTGGAAACAGTGCAACTTGCTCCTTCAAGGTTTACCTGCTGTGTGAGGAAACTGTTTGTTTTTATGTAGCCTTTCATTGTACCTTTCATCGTTGTCAATTAACTGTCTTTTACTAGATTACGAGCAAGGGAACTGGTCCAGTGGTATAGCAGTGCTTTGGTCTTCAGTTCAAATCCATGAATGTTTATCTAGTACAAAATGTTGGTTGATCATCCATAAATAGCCTATTGGCTTCAATTAATATTAAAAATAAAATATTTTTAATTATTCAGCTATCAATATAATATAATTTTATAATATAAGTATTCAAACTTATAATGAAATCAGTAGTAAAGGTGAAAAATCAAATTAATTTGTTGTTAACTTCCGTTTAAAAATTGCTTTATTGTTTTAACTTCTTGGAACTCTTTTCATAGGTAAATTTGTTGTGTATCCATTCCTTACTAGTCCAGTCAATGAATGCTCAAAAGGGGGGTGTAGAGGACATGGAGAGGGGGAAATTTTTTTTCTGCGGGAATGTGTTCGGGGTAGTTAGAAGATAAAAATACCAAAAGTCCCCGCCCCTAGCCCTGCTGCTTCAGCGGGGGGAGGGGGGGAAAGGCCCCATTTTTTAGTTTTTTACTTTTACACTGAAAACCGTGCATCGTACGGAAAAAATGTATATTATAAAAAGAAAGATGATAAAATTCTCTACAAGAATGGTCATATTCATTTCTTCCGTATATGCATTGGTTTAAAAGATATTCTCAAAATAATATAAAAATTCTTAAATAAATTGATTTTTCATGCGATTTTTGTCAAATAAGTTTATATAATCCATTAGCCTGTTGTTGTTTCACATCAATCAGGATAGAAAACAGGTTTTTTAACACTAACCTATATAATATAATATATCAATCGTATATATTGTGTTAAAAATAGTTTATATAAATTTAAATAAGTTATGTATATTTGTCATGGAAACAAGTAATTTTGGCATAATTATTACATTAAAAATTAAAAAAATTATGTTTGTAGCTATATTTGTCCAGGTTTATTTATAATAATTACCGAAACCAAGACTTAATATTATTGTTCATGGTCTGGCTCACTTGGGACGAGAGGGTCCGACTTCTGTCCCAAAAACTGGTGCCATCTGGAACTAAAAACCACCATCTAGGCCATCTCCATCATTCAATTCTTGTTGATTAGACTCAATATTGGCTATCAAAGTGAGAATTCGGTGTAGGCCTATAGATTCTTCATCTTCATTTCATGTAAAAAGTTCCCTTAGCAGTTCTGGCATAACGGAGAACAATTATTGAACATTTTCTTGCATGCACAAATTGCACATCTGGCACTGTTATAATCTTTAGTACATTTGAAAAATACTTGGTTAAGGGATTAACTGTTCCAGGTTACTATAATTTCGGTGTCTATGTTCAAATGAATATCTACTGACCAGTGGGGGTCACTTAGAGGGGGGGTGGGGGGGGGGGTGGGAGGTATATATCCTCTCTGAAATATTTTATTGGCTAACATAAATACTAAAAACATTAGCTTGAAGATATTTTAGAGCTCAAATGCATATCAAAATACGTTATTGTGCTTTAAATTCTACATTTTTTCCGGGGGTGGGGTTAACCACCGGAGGCCCCCCCCCCCCAGAAATTAAATCCTGGGACCGCCACTGCTACTAATTTTTTTCAATCTGTAGCGTCTTTCTTGGTCTGCCATCGTCGTGCTGCTTTCAGAATTGCTATATCCGTCAAAAACAACAATGCATTACCTTACAAGGTAATAGGTATCCACGTACCTCACTTATCCATCACATATTGCAGACACTGAAGATCCCCTTTGCCATATAACCTTATGCGTGAGAAATACCCGTGAGTTTCAGGGAAGAGTGGGTGATTTTCAAAAATTGCTGTCAGTTTAGAAATATTTGACATTTCATAATTTGTATAATTTAATCATTTGTATCATTTAATCAAGGATAACTCTGTTTGGAAAACCAACAACCTTTAGAAATGTGGGATTGGGAGCGCAAAAAAGGTAATCTATTCCCAGTTTTAACCAATGAACCACCTAACCCACGAGAAATATTGGGCTTGTTTTTTGCAAATATACTAAAGATTGTAGAAATGAAAGATGTACATGCAATGAAATGTCCATTAATTGTTCCTCGTTGGCCGTTATGTCAGAACTGCTAAGGGGGCCGTTTAAATAGAATGCCAATTCTGATAAGTGAGGATGATGAAGAATATATACACTGCACTCTCTAATCGATAGCAGATTTTGAGTCTAATGAACTAGAATTGGATTATGGAGAGACCATGAACAATAGTATTAAGTCTTGGTTTCGGTAATCGATATAAATAAACCTGGACAAATATAGCTACAAACATAATCTTTTTAATTTTTAGTGTAATAATTATGCCAAAATTACTTGTTTCCATGACAAATATACATATCTTATTTAAATTTATATAAACTATTTTTAACACAATACCATAAGATTGATATATTATATTATATAGGTTAGTGTTAAAAAACCTGTTTTCTATCCTGATTGATGTGAAACAACAACAGGCTAATGGATTATATAAACTTATTTGACAAAAATCGCATGAAAAATCAATTTATTTAAGAATTTTTATATTATTTTGAGAATATCTTTTAAACCAATGCATATACGGAAGAAATGAATATGACCATTCTTGTAGAGAGTTTTACCATCTTTCTTTTTATAATTTACATTTTTTCCGTACGATGCACGGTTTTCAGTGTAAAAGTAAAAAACTAAAAAATGGGGCCTTTCGCCCCCTCCCCCCGCTGAAGCAGCAGGGCTAGGGGCGGGGACTTTTGGTATTTTTATCTTCTAACTACCCCGAACACATTCCCGCAGGAAAAAAATTTCCCCCTCTCCATGTCCTCTACAATCCCTTTATTGACTGGACTATACTCCCCCGATCTATTTCTAAGACAAAAACAAATCTTACTTGGGGAAATATGAAGTAATAAAACTTGAGACAAGATTCTGTAGTTCATCAGGCAACTCAAGTTTGAGTCACTAAACAAAGAGCACTAAAGTCCCTCAATGGCTGACACGCCTAGTGATAAGGTCCATCCGGACTCAATCAATCAATTGAATACAGACCTAAAATATTATTTACAAATTATAACATTTTTCAAACTCTTATTTGATGTATTATAGAACATCTTTAGCTAACCATGACTATGTATGTTTCCAGCCGAGTTCTGTCCGCTGCTGGCTGACCCTGTAGGAGGTCTACAGCAATGCAAGGACTGGGGCTCTGGAGGACAGTTCAAAGTGTGCGAAATTCAGTGCAACCAAGGCCTCAAGTTCTCCCAGCCTGTGCCCAAGTTCTACACCTGCGGAGCCGAGGGCTTCTGGAGACCGACGGAGAACCCAGCTTTGCCACTGGTCTATCCTGCCTGTTCAGGTGAGGCCTTTGCACAGTTGCATCAGAAGTACAGATTGAAAATAATTTCTTTCATATCTTAATCAGTGGTGTAGTTGTACATTTTCCAGGGAGGGAAATAACATTTACCAAGATCGTGGAAAAATATGGGTTGCTTACATATGTCATTTTATTTTTTTGAAGATTCGGCATATTTGACTCTCATTGTTTTTAGCAAATTTCCCATATAGGGAATAAGCTATTACCGTAGTACTCATGGTAAGACCTGGACCCGGGACCAATTTTTTTTTTTGTTTTGAGGTCCCTAGAGGCCAAAAATACCATCCGTTCAAATTCATATATATATATATATTTTTATATATATATATATATATATATGTGTCCGTTAGCGCGATAACTCGAGCAAAAATGATCCGATTTCGATGAAATTTGGTACAAACTTGTAAACCTACGTTTATTTGAACGAGTTCCCGAACCAGCATGATCGGACCATGGGAACGGGGGTTTATGGGGGCTTTTATGGGGTAAAAATGGGTTTTTCCCATTTTTGACCCAAAAAACATAGAATTTTGCAAATTCTTTCTAAACTATTTTGTAGAGCTTAAAAAAACAAATAATTTAGTATATTGAAGGGTTATAATGCGCCTAATGGTTACGGAGAAAATTCCAAAAAATTGTAAATTTAAAATTCCCATGTTATTCTTATGGAGAATAAGTAAACTGTTGTAGTTTGCTTGTTTATTAACATATTTTGCCCAAATTTGGAAAATGTTTTTATTTCTTACTAACTATTGACATTTTACATAAAAAACACTTTTACCCCCCTGTTGCAGCAAACCTAAGTATGTGTTAAACTTATTCTATTTAAATAGGGAATAAATGCGACATTTTTAAGGAGACAATTTAGTGTAAATCCAATCAGGCATTGGAAATTCGCTTAGTCTGCAGGTTTGCTGCGGCGGGGGTATTTTTTTATTTCTCTTACATCATTTTAGCGAATTTCCCTATAGGGAAGTAGCTATTACCGTAGGTCTCATGGTAAGACTTAGGCCCGGGACCGATTTACTTTTTCATTTTGATGTCCCCAGAGGCCAAAAACACCACTTGTTCAAATTTTTATATATGTATATATATATATATATATATATATACGTGTCCGTGAACACGATAACTTGAGTAATTTTTATCCGATTTTGATGAAATTTGGTTTGAAGGTGTAAGACGGGATAAACTTGAATGAGTTCGCGATCCAGCATGATCGGACCATGGGAACAGGGTTTTATGGGGGGTTTTATGGGGTAAAAATTGGTTTTTCTCACTTTTGACCCTCAAAACACAAAATTTCCCAATTTTTCTCTAAACCGTCTTAAAGAGCTTAAAAAAACAAACAATTCAGTATATCAAAGTGTTTTTTACGGTTATTGGTTACGGAGAAATCTAAAAAAATGGTAAATTTAAAATTCCCATGTTATTCTTATGGAGAATATTGTAAAATGTTGTAGTTTGCTTGTTTATGGATATCTTTTGATCAAACTTGGCAAATATATTCATTTTATACTAAGCAATAATTATTTTACTTAAAACACACACTTTATTAGTTTCCTTGTAGCAGCAAACCTAGGTACTCGTTAAACCTAATGTTATTTAAATAGATCAATTGAAAATCAATTCAGCCAAATGGAAATTCGCTTAGGCGTCAGGTTTGCTGCGGCGGGGGTATTTACTAATAACTTTGTTAAATAGTCTGCACTTTTGTCAAAAGTTATACTAACTGACATCTCTGCACTCCGTCAGTGGTTCAATTGAGTTATGTCAATTTCACCAAATTTACCATAGGGAAGAAGCTAGGTAGGTTGTAGAGGACTGATTTACTTTTCATCTTGTTGTCCCCTGAGTGAGACCATAAACACAAAAATTTAAATATACGAGCTGCTAGTGTTTCTCAACGGGAAAGCATGCAAAACTAAATAATGCTATTCTTTAGATCTGTGTAAAGAAATAGTTAGATTATTCATATATTATTCATTCTACTAGAAACAAAACTTAATCTTACCACTTTGAGTAATCATCTTACCTTTTAGATAAGAGGGGTTAAAATTGCATATAATACCATGAGGCTGATGCATGCTGAAAAATGTTTTAATTCTATGATTCAATTTAAATAAAAACATAACTCTGACTTCAGTGCTAGGGGGATGTGTTGAACCTTATGTTATCTACTTTCCCTTGAAAGTTTTTGAGATTTTTTATACCACAAGCCTCTGAAATGGACGGTAAAAAATAAGATGATGAATATAATTGAACAAAATAAACTGTTTAATTCCTCTATTAATGATACAAAAACACATAGGCTTACTACATCGCATCATATAAATCTACTGTACAATATGTAGACCTGTAAAATATTGAAAATATTATCGTAGGAAATAGTTTACTTATGCTATGCATGAGGTAATCCAGGTGTAAGCTACTTTGATTAAAAAAATCTCTAGGGGAATATTGTTTTTAAATTAAAATTTATATTCATTTCTTACCTATTTAAAGTAATTTTCAGTCTATATGGAAAATATTTTTTAGCCTAGATTAGAATAAGGTTGATAATAATTGTGAAAAAGCTTATAAAATACTATTTAGTTGATGCAGAAAAAAGTCATACTTGTTTTTTGTAATACCACAGAACTGTGAATTAGCAGCTTGGAAATGCAACATAAATCATCGCTAGAACTAAATATTTGCACTTTTGACCTTGTAAATAATATAGAAACAAGGAAGCTAATATAAACTTATAACTAAATCAAACCTCACTAACCTCACACACAATATAATTACAAATAATTTTTTAATTTTTTTTATTTTTATTTTTACAAATAGATGCAATTATTTACATTTTCCCATAAACCTCAAGGACTGCTAGGTTTACTTGACTGATATTTAGTACATTTTGCTTTCATTGATTTTAGGAAAGTAACATATTAATCTAAATTAGGATACTTTTTTGATTCCTATACAACATCAAGTTAGTGTGGATAAAGTATACACAATCTTATCTATTGAAATAGCCTAACAATTTTATTTTGCTAAATAAATCATACTTTTTGTCCTCTTAATTGAGGTAATGATTCGTCTAATGTCCCTCACTTCCTAAAACTGGAGTTAGGTGGTTAAATTTGGTCTCATTTACAATGATTATAACATTTTAAGTTTCCTCCTTACTCCACTTAAGGTGTTGTTGATTGATTGCTTCAATCATTAAGACTACATTTATCTTACAATAGGTGTAACCTGAAATTTACTAAAAACTATCCTGTAAATTTAAACTTTTTCGGTTTTAAAGAAAAATAATTTGACTTTTGTCTTCTTTCCTGTTTTGGATTCCCAATCGAATGTATGCAAAGCTGGAATTTTCATACAGAATCTTTCATTTTCAAATGGTATTTTATAATACCCTGTCAACAACACATTTGAGGGTGGAACTTTTTCCTCCCATGATGTAGCTTTCAGTGTGTTAGTTATAGCAAACTCCCAATTTTCTTTTGTTACACGAACATAGTAATCATGGTCTAGCTTACCAATTGGCGTTACCAGAAAGTATAGTTTTGTCATCGTTAAGCCTGATTCCCAATGAACAAACTGTAGAATCCAAAACAAATTGTCAAACAACCATACTGGAGTGTACAATAAATAAGATCCAAAATCTTCTACACATATTTCTGTAATTATGCACTTTCCCCCATCATGATGTTCCAATGATGTTCCCCCATCATGATGTGTGTGCTGTAATGATCCAATACCTTCAAAACTGGCATTTTAACATCACACCATTTACAATAAATCGATCTGTACCCACAAAACTCTTCATGATCATTACCTGGTTCCACAATTTCCTTACATCCATCTTTACTGTAGATACAATTGCGTGGTAGAGCTTCCAGTATATTTTTTAGACAAACTGGATTTTCCTGTGTGAACGGCCCTTCACATGTAGGGCATTTACTTATCTTGGTGGTACATGACACACATACAACATGACCTCTAGAGCACAGTTTAAAAGGAACTTTTACAGTTTCTAAACACACTGGACACTCCACACAATTTTCAACAATGGTTACAAAGGATTTGGAACTTTCACTTTTATCACTTGCACTTGCCATTTTTGTTATAATTTTAACATAAAGCTGAACATACTACACAATGTGGTTATGGAGCACTTGATGTGTTGGACTTATCTAACAGACTGACAGGAATTGCTACTGACCACTGGACAAACTTGTCCTTATCTCTTGGAAGCCTGTATCAGCTGGACCTTGACCTTTACTTGTTTTCATTGTTTAAAACTTTTATCGGTTTTTATTTCCCACTACATGAAGACTGAAATACGGTACTCATAAACTAAAACTATACTTTATCGATTTTATTTTAGAAAAAATATATTTCTTTTTAGCGAAATTCCCTATAGGGAAGTAGTTATTACCGTAGGTCTCATGGTAATACCTAGGCCCGGGACAGATTTACTTTTTCATTTTGATGTCCCCAGAGGCCAAAAACACCATTCGTTCAAATTTGTATATATATGTGTCCGTCCGGACGATAACTTGAGTAATTTTTGTCCGATTTTGATAAAATTTGGTTTGAAGGTGTAAGGCAGGATAAACTTGAATGAGTTTGCGAACCAGCATGATCTGATCATGGGAACGGGGTTTAACGGGGGGTATTATGGGGTAAAAATGGTTTTTTCTATTTTTTTACCCTTAAAACACAAAATTTCTCAATTTTTCTCCAGAGCTTCTTAAAGAGCTTAAAAAAACGAGTAATTTAATATGCCAACGTGTTTTTGTACGGTGATTGGTTACGGAGAAAATAAAAAAAATTTTAATTTAAAATCTTTTAAAGATTTTAGATTTTAGTATTGTCAAATGTTGTAGTTGGCTTGTTTATGGATATATTTTGATCAAACTAGGCGAATTTATTTATTTCATACTAGTCAGCGTATTCATCATCATTAAGGTCCCGTAGTAAATCTGCTACACTGTACTTATTTCTCAAAGCAAGAAGTGGTCAAACCTAAAACTTGCTAAAATCTTCTCTCCTGTCTGTCTCTCTCTCTCTCTCTCTGACTTCCAAGATCACCACGATAGCTGCCACGAACAATGTCTCTTCAGCACACATTTCGATACGGAATGTGAATGAGGTTGTGCTACATATAACATATAGCACGAGCACCAGAATCACTAAAATTGTTTGTAAATTCTTCATACAGCAAAAGTTATAAAGCAATGTTATATAGCAAAAGTTATATAGCAGGTTTTGCTACATATTGTAAATCCGGCTTTAAACTAAAGCTATAGACGCACCATAGATTTGCTATTAAGCATCAGCACTCATTTTGACGTATATTTTGAGTTATGCACAAACTGCCTCCCTGTACATTACTTACGGGAGTTAAAATTGTTTTTTTCCAGTTCGGTTGGCTCTTCTACCTGACCAATTTTCATAATTTTGGTCTCAAAGCTATGCAAGCACATATTTTTCATCATTAATCTATCAAATGTATTACCCTACGAAAACAATTAAATTGAATTTTTTCAATTTTTACTTCAATTAAAAATGTATTCTAGCAGTTACATTATCCTATACGTTTTTATATAAAAATCTTCAGTGAAATACCAGATTCCATTGGAATTATTGATTATTGAGATCGGACGTACCTAAAGCACACTGCTAAATCATAAACGACCCAAATTGTTTAAAAATAGAGTTATGATCGATTTATATTTAAAAAGATCTTGCTTGCAACCTCAACAGTACCTAGGCTAATTGTCGACGTTGACGGGTTTCACCTAGCAAATCTTAAAAAATCAAACTTTCATAATTATTTGAAAATCTACACGAATTACTTTCCAATGACCCATTAGTTTATAAAATCGGTCAAGTAGAACTCTAGATTTAGTTGTACAAAGATTTTTAAAACTGAATTACTAGATTTAATTGCAAATCAATTAAGACAAATGGAAATTCGTTTAGTCTGCAGGTTTGCTGCGGCGGGGGTATTTCCTATACATATATTCAGCTTATTATTCACACTGCCATAAAATCAATGCATGATAAATGAGTAACCTTACTGTATTTACAGTTTTAGAGAAAATTAAGATACTTTCTAGAGTGAGTGCCTAACTAATTGCAGAGTAAGTACCTAACGGACCAGTAACCAATATCATTAGTGGTTAAATTAGTCACTTCAAGATTAGAGTTAGAAAAAATAACAAATTAATTATAATGCTGTTGCAGCCTCCAAACCAGCCCAGAGGGTGTTCAAGGTGGCCATGTTGTTCCCTACATCAGTGCTGTGTAACGAGGCAGGACAAGGAGTGTTGCGACAGAAAGTACGCACTGCGATCAACGCTCTCAACCGAGACTGGAACTTCTGCTCTTACTCTCTGGAGGGTAAGTTATTTACCAAAAACACTAAAAACTTGTTGCTGCAAACATTTTGTGGTAAGAGAGGAGGCAGGTCAAACAGATTGCAGGAATGGTTGGTACCTGAGGAAGCACCGACTGTCACAATCTTTAATGGGAATTCTGTATGTTAAAAGTCTGGGCAGTCTGCAGATAAAAGACTGTAGAGTATGCTATGTGCTTTTTGACTGTACACAGCTAACTGAAGTATGGGAAATAACCCTTGCAACCATGGTGAGGGGCAGATAATTACCTCAGATATAACTCATAAGCAGGATGTTGCATTTTTCTAGTACCTGAAGTTCAATGGTCTTTGAGGCACTCAGAGGAGTACGAAACGTCCACAAAGTGGTTAACATGCTCCAAGGGTCTGTCTCTACACTTAAAATACATCCAACCTTCTAATTGTACATATTTGCATTTGGTTGGTAAATTTGTATTTTTTCATCATCCAAGAGAGGTTAGTTACGATTGTATTGTTGTAGGTACTCGGGAGTGTAAGGACCTGGATATTGATGTCAAGTGCGACCATCGCTCCAGGCCCACGAGAGATCTCACCGAGAGTAACGCTTACTCACTCAAGGCCGAGCTTCCTGTCAACAGGTGAGTAATAAGTCAGAATCTCACCCATGTGAGTCCACTGATCAAGTACGGTAGTAGTTGAATGTCTTGTTCCTTAAATGCATGGCTAACTGTTTTCTGTGTTCTATACTGATACAATTAGATCTGTTTAGAAATTTAATTTTGAATTTTTGTCGTTACTTGTAAAATAAATATGTTAAAATAGTTGACATGTAGTGAAACGCCTAGTTACTGTGTTCATTTATTGTGATCTCTGATGGTTGATGTAAATTTATATAATTAAATTCAGGGAAAAATAATTTTATAATGAAGTTATACTGACACAACAAATTAATAACATGCACTTCTATAGACAAATAAACATGTAAATATAAAAATGTGTTTAGTTGATCATCCTCATATTTAGAGTTAAGCTAACGGAGATTTTCAAATTCTTAAAATACCAACCTACATAAACACCATTAACTACAAAAAAAGTTAGGTACTCAAAGTAGAGAACAAAGTTTACACTCGAAATTTAAATAAGCAAACAATTTACCAACAGAATACTATAGAACATGACAGGATGAGCAAACAAACTGGGTAGTACAAAGAAAATACAATAGTTGAAAACAACACTTATTTTTATCAACTATTGTGTTACTGAGTGTTTGGTTTGTTTTCTACTCTTGTCGTGTTTTAGGTCTAATTCTGGATCTTAACTTTTTCTAATCAGCGATAAAAAAGTATTTGCAATTATTTTTTCAACAACATAAACTAACCAACCCAATAATCAAATCAAAACATGAAAATATCGTCAATATTTAACCTGGAAGCATTTGGTTATACAAATTCAACAATAAATCATTTGTCACTTACAAAACTTACACAAACATCATACTTATTTCCACTGTTCACCACACACATATGATAGTTGTGCACTTGACTCCGGTTGTAGTTGACATCAGATATCTTCTAACCTGTGTCATCACTAGACCGTGTGGTAGTCTTAGTCACCTGTAGTTGTAGTTGTCTTGTGATGTCCTGTAGTTGAGAATGTGTGTTCCATAGGGTTGCCCGTCAAGCTAGCGACACTTACGCTGTCCAGATAGCCTTCCCAGCGGTCAAGTAAGTGTGTTTCTCCATCTTGTTTAGGTGGTGGTACTTTATGAGATTAAAAAATATGTTGTGATTTTATCTACTTAGCAGTATACTTTTTAAAAGACAAAAATTAAGATTTATGAATTGCGTTGTAGCTATTGTAACATCCTAAGTAAAATCTTTATCTCTTGTTATAGTAGGTTTTACTTAAAAACGTGGAGTTTATAGAATTGTTAAATTTAATGGGGTTGTTTTTTCAAGTAAATGAAATGAATCATAGTTATTGTTTAATGATAAATGTGTTTCAAAACTGTGTTTAAAAATTACTGTTTTAAAACCTGTCCAGACCATTGTAATTTTGCATTTGACTTGTGATTACGGATAATACTCTGGTTTTATTAGATCAGTAAAAAGTCCAGTTCTAAGAATTAAAACTGAAAATTGGTCTCCTGCTATGTAATAGTCTCTGAAAATATTAGCTTTGATTGTTAAACTAAGAATCAACAAATACCTTATTTAACATCTTACTCTCTCCTCGTCCAGTGACCCTGTGGTCAACCTCAATTCCAACCAGAGGGCGACAGTGCAGCGACTCCTGGAACAGCTGATCCTAGAGGAAGACCAGCTGGATGTCCACGATATCCTGCCTAACACTGTGCCTGATCCAGCCTCTCTGACATTGACGTCCGACTACGCTTGTCCTACTGGACAGGTCGTCGTTGCTCCTGACTGTGGTATGTACATTACATACACATAGGAAATCTAGGAATCTATTTCACTTTTGAAGGTTATAACAATTTGTTCCATACTATTGAGTTCATATTCTTGATTTTATTGTTCAGAAAAATTATGTCTATAGATTTTCACATTCTAAACACAACGATCTAATTTACATTGTGTCGTGTAGTGCCTTGCGCCGTTGGCAGCTACTATGACAAGGAGACTATGTCCTGCAAGCCGTGCGCCGTGGGAACGTACCAGTCAGAGAGTGGACAACTACAGTGCACCGTATGTCCGGCCATCTCTGGACGCCAGGGAGTCACCATCGGGCCTGGCGCTCGCAGTGCTTCTGACTGTAAAGGTAAGTTACTTAAAACCTCCAGTAGAAAAATATTTAAAAATATAAACTACTATTTGTTAATTAGTAGTTACCATTTATGTTATTCTTTCAATTGATTTTATATCCAATCAATAGTTCAATAGACCAATGAATGTGTTAAACCAAGGTAACTCAGCTCAAAAAATATGTTTCTATTTCCAACATTTGGGTTTTATTTGTAACATTAACATTAAACTTTAAATGGAAACCAGTGATGGTAACTATCCCTAGCACATTTTCCGAGCATGGTCAACAATATAGGTATGTTCCTTTCAAAGTACACCGTTGCATGTACAACAAAAAAAAACTACTTGTTTTGTTTAGCTTTGAACTGCTGTTGAATTAATTGGGATTTCTTTCTGAAATGGGATTGAGCTCAGATAACTTACCTGAGAAAATTAGAGCCTCTTGTCTCTTTATTTCTCAGGTAAGCTAGCTAAACTCTGTCCCCATAAAAAAATATCTTTATCATTTAACTTCCCTTTGAATTATTATTGAATGAATTGACAGTTATAATTTGTTTCTACAGAGAGGTGTCCGGCTGGCAAGTTCTATGACGATGAGGCTGGCCTGTGTCGTAGCTGTGGTCACGGCTTCTATCAACCCAACGAAGGCAGCTTCAAGTGTCTGCTATGCGGACTCGGCAAGACTACGAGAACTTCCGAGGCTGTCTCTCAAGAGGTACTGTCTTCTTGTGTTGTGTACAAATAAATAGAAATTACTAATATATTTTGTGGTTCTAAATGCAAATATTTCTAGCGATTACATTTGAACATTGTACTGAAATTGCCTTCATTACCTTCTATTATTTATTCTTTCTGTGACGCTTATCATGACAGCGTTGTCTAGATTAGTCAACAGAATGAAGATTTGCCTCTCGAAATGAAGCTGGGATAAAACAAAACACCCCAAAAAAATTAAAATTAAGTGAAAATTTGTTCATCCCAAAATGTTTACGCTCTTGTAAGCACCACAATGACTTATATTCCTAACCCATCTTGTGTGTTTGTAGGAATGCCGTGATGAGTGTGGGTCTGGTATGCAGCTTGCATTGGAAGGTCAGTGTGAACCTTGTCCTCGAGGTACGTACCGCACGCAGGGCGTAGAGGCTGCTTGTCAACCATGTCCTGCCGGCCGCACCACACCTAAGCTGGGAGCCGCTACTGTCGAGGAATGTTCTCTGCCTGTCTGCGGTCCTGGTAAGTTCTGTCAAGTTAATATGTAAATTTCCATAATGTAGGTCATGTAGATTGCCTTGATATTATCAGATGCTCATCATAGGAGGTTCCGAATATACAATAGGATGAGTGACTAAACATAAATGATTAAGATGAGTAATAGTTTAACTCTTTATCACTCCAGTTTTTTAAATTTCTTTGTTATAAATAACACTGTCTTCAAGAAATGACACAATATTTTGCTCAACTTTTACTTTTAAGCTGAAAAATACACTTTTGATTATCCTATTAAAATTTGTTAGAGACAAAATGTTTAATGTGTGTTAAAAAAATTAACAATTCAGGTATATAATATTACAGTTTAGGACGCTGTATAATGATACTGTTTAGAATATTGCTTGAGAGATCAAGACCAAGGTTTTGACTATTCACTCATCACAAATGTTTAACCCCCTAGGAATTAGGAATAGACATCTAAATATAAATAAATCTAAGATATAGTAAAGATGTGTGTGGTGTATAGGAGGTGAAGTAAATAAATTATGAAATTGTGTAAAGAGAGTTTCAAAGACATCTGAGATACTCAAATGGTGTGTTTGCGTTTTGCAGGCTCATTCCTGAACACCAGCATGAACAGCTGTGTGTCCTGCAAGAAGGGAACGTACCAGCCCTCGGCCCAGCAGACATTGTGTCTACCTTGTCCTCCCAACACCAGCACCAAGGGAACCAACTCTGTAAGTGTACAATCACACAATCTTGAGCGAGTCGATGAGCGTTGGTAGCAGGTCCAGGGCAGCAATTTTGTGGGTTCTGATCCTGGTACCAGCCACTACTTTTTATCCGTACAGTTCACACTTGTGCTGTACCAGCTCATTCCTGGCTTTGCTGAATACGTCCAACGCGCAGGCCTCTGTGGCTTATGTGGATGGCAAATAAATGCAATTGAGGCCGGCAACCTCTTAAAAAAATCACAGGTGTGATAATAATAGGTGTTGAGGGTTGTTTCTATAACTGGTTACAATGAGCAGTAACTTGTCTTGTCATGAAAGTTGATCTTTCTTGAGATACCAACGGAAGACTAAGCATATTTTTTCCTTTACTGTACTGAGCCACTGTTGTGCATTCATCGCTATTGTAAGGCTATGTATTTTTCCTTCTTTTGAAGGAGTCTTAGCTGTGTTCGTCTCCAGAGTCCAGAGAGTATGTAAACCTTCTGTTTAGAGGTACTCCTCTGACTATATGGGTAGAACTAGACATTTCATTCCTGCAGAGTGGCATTAAGCTTAGAATAAAAATGAACACAATTGGATCGAGCCAATACTTACTTTAGTGCCTAAATCACTACTTTTTGTTTCTAACATGTCTTTTCACAATTGCAGAAGAGCAAGTCGGACTGCTGGAACCCTTGCGAGATGAACGGTCCAGAGATGCACTGTGATCCCAATGCCTACTGTCTCCTCATACCTGAGACTAGTGACTTCAAGTGCGAGTGCAAGCCTGGCTACAACGGCACTGGCAAAGTGTGCACAGGTATGTACGATTTTAGTTGTAAAGACATTTATCATATTACTAGTATTTTCCCTTAGTGAAATATTTATATCACTGAACCATGCACATGCAATTTGACAACACATTTAAGTTTTTCGTTTGATTTTTCTTGAACCTTAAAATAAGATGTCTCAATTGTTCTAATAAAGCTAAGGTAAAGTGTCACAATATACATTCCTGAAGTAAATAACACTACATTGTCTAGAGATATTCAAATAATATGTGTAGTGTGATTGTCGTATTGTGAAAATATTTTGTTAGTTTAGGATAAACCTAGTTTTGAGACAAATTTTCATTTAATTCCATAAACTCATTTTCCATCTTCAATGAAACCTACTACAGGGTGTTTCAAAATGAAAGTTAAAATCTGCTCTTTCCTTTTGTAAAACCCTTTATTCATCTGTAGAAGTTACTTAATAAGAAACTTAATAAACTAGGAAACTTAATAATCGCCTCATTAAAAACAAACTCCATAGACAGTTCATTCACCCTTTGTCATTTTAAAACTCAAATTGTATTAACCCTTACCGCGCTACAAATATGTCGGGTGGCCTTGACTGTAACGCTACATATGCCTAAAAAATATATTTTCCCAAAAGTCAAAGCTGAATATTTTTTTTATAATTTTAACAATATAACCAACGTAATAAGCCAATATAATAGCGAACGTAGCAGAGAACGAAGTTTTCTGTGGAGTCTGCGAGTTAACCAAACACTTGCGAGTTAGTTCGTCCACAGCGCTGGCGTCTCTCATAGCAGAGACCGGCAAGTGTAGGGCGCCGCCATTTTGAACAATCAGAGGGAACGTTGTTATTGTGATTTTCCATCACGTGATATGTTCTCCAATAGCTGCTGCACTCTATCGGCAAAACTGGGAACTACAAGGACCAGCCAATGCACTCTGTATTAAAGGCGAGTATAGTCGTCTATAGCGTTTTGAGCAAAAGGAATTTCGGCGAGTATATTCGTGTACAGCGCGGTAAGGGTTAATAAACCTTTATACATAATGATAATAATTTACTCATTCTTGTTGTAGATGTGTGCGCCGGTTTCTGTGAGAACAAGGGTACGTGTGTGAAGGACTCTCGAGGTCAACCGTCTTGTCGCTGCGTCGGATCCTTCATCGGTCCTCACTGCGAGGACAAGTCAGAGTTTGCCTACATCGCTGGTGGTATCGCAGCTACTGTCATCTTCCTCATCATTATCGCTCTGTTTGTCTGGATGATCTGTGCTCGGTAAGTCAAAATGTTTTATCTTTTTTGTAATTGATTTGGGAAGCTGTGAAAGTTTGCCAAATCAATTAATCCAAAATACTGTTACTCTGTTCACTATGTCATTCGGATTTCATTTAACTTTTTGACAGGTTAAATCGGTAAATGTTATGAAAATTTAAAACATGAAGTGAAACTTTGATAGCGACTGAACTAAAGCTACTCTCGGATAGTTTTATAGTTACTTCATTTGGTACGTTACTTGATTCATCACATATCTCCGATCCATTCAGAAACATACTTACCCTAATAGATATGAATTAATGCAACAAATTAATATTTTGCCACTAAAATTAGATATCTTGAAAAACTCTTAAGTAAAAGTGGATTTCACTTCATAACATACAACGTACCAATTACAATAGTTTTAAAGAATTATTTTAAGGCACAAGTAGAGGTTAACTGTAAGAAAGGACAGTGATGTCCTAATTTTGCCTCAATAAAGAAGAACTTTTATTTCATTTCAAGTATAACTTTCAGTGGTCTCTAATTGGACTTTATGGAGTTGAGTTAACGTTATATAGGGCCTAGTCATGATGTAAGTGTCAATTTTTAGTGCAGAGCATATTACTATAGTTTGTTGGTATGATAAAAATGATTTATTTTCTATCCTAATGTTATTTTGTTATTGTTTGTTTTTCTACTGCCACAAAAAAGGATTATTCATTCTTTCATGATTAGTGAAATTATATAAAAATATGTTTTGTGGCAATAAACAGTTTGATTTCATTTTCTAGTGTTTAGTTTTGGATCTAGTGAAAATATAAATGTTATGTTTTAGTGTATTCCTACATTTAGTAACGGTGTAAATGTTTCTTGTAGAGCGGAGCAACGTAAAGAGCCCAAGAAGCTGGTGGCTCAGGCTGCGGACCACACAGGCTCCCAAGTCAACTTCTACTATGGAGCTGCTCCATACGCGGAGTCCATTGCTCCGTCTCACCACTCAACCTACGCTCACTATTACGATGACGAGGAGGACGGCTGGGAGATGCCCAACTTCTACAATGAGACTTATATGAAAGGTGAGCACACTTATCAAGTGTGATTCATGAGGATTCTACTGAACACAAACTCCTTTTCAATTTGCTTTCTGAAGAAGTTTTGTCTTTACATAACTGAACTCTAATTTTGTCGGGAAAGCCAGCCAAACTCAATACATTACCGGGAAAACACCTATTGCACACAAAATTCTCCTCATCTCATTAGTTTTGTTTCTCTATCATCTTCCATTTTAATTTTCAATGATAGAAATGCAAAATTAAATTAGAACTGTATTTTGATGTAAAATGCCTGCTTGTTCAGCCTTTGAAAAAATATGGACATTAACTAATTATTATAACTTAAACAGACAAAGCAAACAACATAAACAACATAAACAACATTACAACAACATAACAAAACACACAAAACAAACAACATTAGCAGACAATATAAATTAAGCAAACTGCAATGTAGACAGAATTCTGTAGACATTTGATTGACCTCCTACAATCAGACTCAATATAAAACCCAAAGAATCAGAGCTTTCGCTGGTAGTCCAGGTTTGAAATGAACCCCAGTGTACTATCTGTTCTGATACCAAAACTCTTCACTTTCTCAAAATATTTGTCATATTAATCAAATTCAGTTTAAGAAGGTCAAATCAATGTAAAAAAAAACTATATTGTAAGAAGATTGTGTTCTTGTTACTGAATTTCAATGTTTCTAATCAATGTTTCAGAGAGTTTACACAACGGAAAGATGAACAGTTTAGCGAGGTCCAACGCTAGTATTTACGGTAACAAGGAGGAGCTATACGATAGACTGAAACGCCATGCTTACCCTGGAAAGAAAGGTACTTAGATAATGTATTTTAATCAACATGTTAAAAATTTAACGAACAATTATCAAACACTTGGTCAGCATATTACTTTATTTCTCATCTGTATGTGTTATTGAATGTTTTCAAAAAATACTACGACCATGTTCAAGACTTTTTAAACTTCACGTTCTAGAATATTTGTAAAACTGTGATACTAATGCAACAGATTCTTGGAAGAAAATTAAAAAATATTAAAAGCTCGACAATGCCAGAGAACCCCTTAACTCAAATATATTTTGAAGACTGTTTAACTTCATTTATACTGTTTCAAGTTCTGCTGGAGTGTAACTATTCTCATGCCTTTTTAGCAATACCATGAAGGCTAAGAAAAAGCCAAAATGTTATGGCTGTAAGCGTTTGATTTATGTTAAAACATAAGGAGTACCATTCGAGTTTGTGGGCTGTAAGAATTGTATGGGTTTAATAATAACTCACTCATCCTAAGGAAATAGTTTTAGTAACTATGAACGGCTGAAGAGAACACAGAAAATGTCAATAAATAAGACTACCAGACTTTGTTTTCTGGTATAGTTTCTAATCCCACTTTTGGATTTTAATTTCCAATCAAGTTAAACACTCAGTTCTATCAAAAATATTTTTTGGACTCCTTGAAAAACCAGTAAAAGTATTATCTCTGAAACTAAACTGTTTCAGCCTAGTCGTAGCATTGTTAAGATACTTTTTATTCCAGCTTTAACTGTGGCTGTGGGTAGTTGTTGCTAGTAGCCCTTATCTTACGATTTATGAAAATAAAACTGGTAAACAATCCACAATCGTATAAATTAACTTTTCTGTTGCAGACAAGAGCGACAGTGAGAGCGAGGGACAGTAGAGATTTCCGAGGCTGTGCTCATGATATTAAACAAGAATAGCGTTAAGTGTGAATGAGTGAATGAATGTGTACAATAGTATGTTTTATACGTGTGATGTGCTAATAGTTAACAAGTTTAGATCATAGCTTATTTATAACTGTAATCATGTTTGCCAAAAAATTGAAATTGTTACAGCGAGCTTTGCCATATTTATTAAGTTTGAACGCAAAATTTGTTGTAACGATGGAGGCAAGAGGGTTCGACCCTCGCTCGGTGCCAGTGTATATACGCTCAAGGAGGTGGTTCAGGGTGAACTGTTCCAGGCTCTCTCACGAAGTCAGCAGTGAGGAAAATAAGAAAAAAATAGTTACGGTAGCAGTTTTGAAAAATGTTTACACTTTGAGGAAGTTGGAAACAAAATTAACCTAAGAAGTTCAAAGAGGTTGATAGTACACAAAAAAGCGAAAAACACAACAAATGTTGTCCTGTAACTTCACAAAACTTGCCCTCCTTCAAATAGGAAAGAAGTAAAAAATATTGTTTGGATAATTGGGGACCAATATTTAAGTTTCAGGAACTTTTTTTAAGTAAGCTAGTTGTGCATCCATTTCTTCTTCATTCATCCATACGATTTCAGAGTGTAAAAGTGCTGATATCTTTTGTGATTGAAATTGTAAGGATAGACAAGTACTGCTGACTAACTGTGAAAGAATTGTTGTACTCTAAATAAATAAAAATAACGTATTACTACTCGACCTCTTTTCATCAAGTGGGTTGCAGGATATTCCAATCGGTTAATTTACCAGATAGCGTTGTTTACATTATATGAACGTTGTTATAGTAGTTTTAAGTCGAATAGCTAAGAGTGTAAAAATGTAATTTAAAATACTGTTGCAACTTTGTAATACCTAGATCTAATTTCAGTCATAAGATGTAAGCTACAGCAACCAATAATGTATACAATATTATGTTGTATTTTTGTAATTAAAATAAGAAATATGAAGAAATATACCTTTTTTAAAGTTATTGGCTTTGGATTTTACTCACCATTAAATATATCAAATGTTCTATAATGTTCTATAAACATTTAAAGTTTCAAAGAAGTCCTAATATTTTGAATTTTAGTCGTGGATTGTTCTTTTTATTTACTAAAATCAATATCCTCGATTGGCTAAATTAATTTTGAAGGGAAAATGTTGGGGATGCTGTGGAATCAAACAAATTATAGAAAATTTATATTTATAATAAAATATACTTTATTTTATTACAAGTTAAAATGTTATAAATAAACAATTTTTACAAGTTAATAACTAAATTTACAGCATGGTTTAATATGTGAGGATATAATGTCATAGTAGGTTTACCAAGTAGTAAAGAGTTCATTCTTAGTAGAACATGAAAACATTTTAGAAAATATAAAAATTGGGATATTTTATATTAATTTTAAATTCATTACTTCGACTCCTATGTTAGGCGTACATTCTGCTACAGAAAATGTTTTATCATCTCAATCATCTCACATAGCAATTAATTTGATTTAAATTTTCAACAAATATTACTTTTTCTACGTTGTGAGTTTTGATTTAAAAAAATATATTGTATGAATATAATATTTTATTATGATAATTCATAAGTTTTTGCTACTAAGAAAGGTAAGCCTGACTACATAACTCAGGTGTGAAAGTTACTCTATTACCAATTTAAGTAAAGTCCACACTAAATTGTATACTTCAATAATTGCCAATTCATAGATCAGGACTCTTCTTCTCAGTTAACCCTACTATTACATTTTGATCCAGCAAAATCACACCAGACTTGCTTCAGTGTGTAGGTTTTGGCACTCTCTGGCAGTGAACCTGTCAGTGGTGAGGTCAGAGGTGATGGGGAAGTGGGGGAGGGGTTGGGAGGAGTTGGGTCCTGGGTACTGTGAGAGAGGAAGGGGTGAAGAACCTGAATATTGAGGGAGAGGTGAGGAACCGGGATATTGAGGAAGAGGGAGGGGTGAGGAACCGGAATACTGGGGAAGAGGGAGGGGTGAGGAACCGGGATACTGGGGAAGAGGGAGGGGTGAGGAACCGGGATATTGTGGGTGAGGAAGAGGCGAAGAACCAGGATACTGAGGGTTTGTAGGTGAAGGTCCGGAGAGGAATGGCACGGCTGTGGCGTGTTTGTCCGAGGGGAGTCCGGGTTGGTCCAGATAAAACCTCGGGGCTAGCGGGTCATCACCCTGCAGCCGACCTGAAAAATATATAACGTAAGAAACACTTAATATTTAGTAATTTCCTGAACAGATGCTGTATCAATGTAAAAAAGTGGTTTAGCAAGGATAGGATCAAATGCTAGTAGAAGGAGGTTCAAAACCAGTGGGGTTGATTTACAGGGTCATTGGGGAGTCTGACAGTCTTCACTGAGAAATGTATCCAATTTAAGTGGAATACTCTGTTCCAGGTAGCCTTTATATTGGCCTATTAGGTAAAACAAATTAAGATAAACTTGTAATCAAACTGGTATGATACTTTATTTTTCACAAATATTATTTCTGATGGTAAGAGTTTGATTTGAACAGTCAGTGTTTGAATCTTAAGTTTTTCAATAACTGAAATTATTCTAAAATGATCATACTGGAGCTAGAGAAGAAGAAACTCACTCACTGTAAATGGAAGCCTCCTCTTACTACTCACAAAGCCAAACCTTTTCTGGCCTTGAGTCCTTGAGACCAAGAATACCTAGTAAAGTTAGTTAAATTGTTATAATGGTTAGCAGATTAGTAAGCACTAACCAGAGAGGGAAGGTGATGGTCCTTGAGAGTTGCTGCAAATCTTGGTGCTGTAGCCGGAGTCATTGTTGTCTCTGTCCAGTGTAGGACTGTACACTGCGCTGCGGCTGCGGTAAGGTAACCTTTTGACCTCTGACCAAGGCCCTGGTCGCTCACATTCCTCGCCGTCGCTTGAGTCCGAGTGTGTGAAGTGCTCGGTGTCCGCCCACGTTTGCTCTCGTCCCTCAGCTTGTTCACGCACGTCTCCGCTACGTCTCCAGTGCAACGCTTGCACACGGGACACTATCTCGTGCACAGACTTGCGCAACTCTTGTCTCCTCCAGCTCGGCAAGTCACTGCAGTCTTTATCACATTTGGTTTCTACATCCTTCCCCTCAACTTCTCTCATGGCAGAACACTCTTCATTGTGAGGTGAAGCGTTGCACTTTTCCGTTTTGGTAACGGATGAAACGAGGTCTGGACATTTAGTTTTATCGCGGTACCTCTGTAATCTTTCACTAGCGAACTGTGATCTCCAGAAAAGGCCGACTTTATCTGTTGGTCTGTTGAATTCTTGCCCATGATCACTTTCTCGTTCAGAGCACAGATCGTCCATACTCCTATGATCAGCTGGACCCAAACGGCGTTCTTCAGGGATCTCAGTGGCTCCCTCTGCTGTGTTTTCATTCAGTAGGGACTTGTCATCGAGAAGATCAAGACTTCTAGTCCTCGGTAGGTACGACTCCCCTCTCAGCCACTGTGTGAGGTGTTGATGCTGTTTTCGAAGTTGGGATATTCGTACTTCTGTTTGTCTTTCAAGGTTTTGTACTTTTTTATCGATTCGTTTCTCAGCAGAAGTGATATGCTTCTTGAGTTCTTCTTTGTCTCTTTCCATGCGAGCTTCCATGTGTTGGAAGAATGGGGCACAGTAGCATGTGTAGCCAACGCCTACTGGTCCCTGTAAAATATTGTTAATTTAATTTTCAAAAATCTTTAGCAAGTGAAGTGATATTAAGGCTGATGTTCTACAATTTTGGTTTAGAGAGTAAACGATACATTAATAATACATATTTTACGATTATTACTTTTACATGCAATGATTCAAATTAAAATTAAATTTTTCATAAACATCATTGGTGGTAAGAAAACAATAAAAGTACAAATCGAGTCTAAAGGGGCATTTACATTTAATTCGAGCTCGCAATCGAGTACAGCTCGAATTCCTCCTCGAATTAGTGCCAACCACAAATTTACTCGCATGCTAGTAGTGAAATGTGAGCACGAATGACATTTTGCCGTTCAAGTTACTTTCCAAAATGTTGGGAAATGCTCGCACATTCGCAGGCCTATCCTTGTGAAGCCCAGTTTTTGAAAACTTAGGTGTTGTGGAAAAGGGATGTTTCTATTTGGTCATAAATTTTGTGTTTACTGTTCCGTGATGGCTGGGTTTAATGATGATGTACCGGTATACAAATTTCTTTTATTTATTTTTTTATTAAATTTAATTTTTTCCACAGACCACCAAAATATCTTAAATAATTACACTCATACTACTCATACATACTGTATACTTTTACAAACATATTATACATCCCTACACAGTTTTCTTGAATATGTTCACTCATTATACATACTAAAAATAAACATATTATACTGATCATATTGACCATCTACCAATAAATGTGATCGCTGATTATGAATACTTAACTTTCGCCTTACAACTACATCACTTACAACTGCTACTATTATTCCAGTAATAACAACGTAAACGCTGCTGGAATTCGATCCATCATTCGATACTGGAATAGTAACTCGCTCGATATCGCATTCCATCGATTCGAATACGAGCTCGATTTATTATAAACGCGCCCTAAGTGCCACATACTACCACACATTGCAAGTGACAAACAGTTTTAAAAAGGATACTTTCGTGAAACTCTTTACAAGGGATACATAATTATAAGAAAGTTAAATGGTTTATATTTTTTTCTGTGAATGTTATAGGTAATTCACAAACTTATTTGAGCATTCAATAGTAGTACACTTTCTAGTCACTCGTCAGGATACAACATTTAAAATGAGGTGGAAAAATCAAAACAACAAACAAATGTGGTCATTTTGAGTGGGGAAGAGATACCTGCCATACTTATATAGGAACCATCCCTAAATTTTACTTTTCTTTTGAACGATTATTTGTGAACTAACGAACATTCACGCTTAGTTAAATTTGATAATAAATTATAGCTACTACACTCCTGTAGAAGTAGAACATACATTGTTACTATAGTGGCTTATAGGGGCAATAGCCCCTAGTAATATATTCTAAATATCAAAAATATATTCAAAAATATTCTAGTAATATTTTTGTACAAATTATTAGTCTCATAGGTTACCCTACCTTGATTTATCATTTAACATGTTTGTATATTATGGTATGTATAATAGTTATTACATATCATAATGTAGGTTGATGTCTACTCTGTTTAAAATAAAAATTCCAAAGGACATGCGGTGTATAATATAAACTTTCTAATCATAATACAACTAAGGAACATTTTCCAATAACAATTTTCATGACTATTAATTACATCTATATAGATTTCTTTAAATATAGACAAATTCACTTAGGAAAACACATAGATATAACGTCATCATCCAAATTGTAAAATGCTAATTCTATAACAAAACCTCTCTGAAAACAAAATTTGTTGTATATTATCGATTTTGGTCGATTCCTTGGTCTTTATTTGGGTCTAGTACTATTTTAACATCATCTGGCCTCTTTGCCCATCCAAAAGTAACATAAAGTTGACCATGGGTAAACACTGGGGTTTTCAAATAAACGCCAACTTTGTGAAGGTTCGGCCTTGCGCCACAATTTAACCAAATCAAATTGCACAATGAATGCACCCATCGTTCATTGGTCCTAGCTGTGTAATGCAATCTCATTTAATAGTGGCAATGTATACACAGGAATAACTTCATGTTCATCCGATATTCATTTATTTTCCTCCCAAATATCGTGCCAAATCTGGCGCCTGTTGTTCTCATTTCAAGGAACAACACCTCTGTGTGGTAGTCTTCCGACATTATACATTATTACTGTGCAAAAGAACAATCCATTGTAAAGTATTAAGTTTAAAAGTATCAAATTTAAGTTTGCTCAAAAGATTTAATCTAATTTTCACTTATTGTTGTTTACTACTTCACTAACAATTTTACAATAACAAAATAATGCAAATTCAGGTGTGTTTTTGTTTTTCAATTTATATAACCACAGCTGTGTTTAAGCTAAATAAAAATGCATCAAATTATATTCCCATGTTATTTAAATGTGAAATATTTTATTCCGTAACTACCTTTTGGTGCATAATTTGAAAATGAATAGTTTTCCCTCAAAATTCACGTCAAGACCTTTAAAATAAGACCCCTCCCATCCTTCTACGGCCATCCAGTCACTCACAATTTCTTTACAAAAATTTGACTTACGGAATCATATATATAGAAATAAAAATGCATCAAATTATAGTCCCATGTTATTTAAATGTGAAATATTTTATTCCGTAACTACCTTTTGGTGCATAATTTGAAAATGAATAGTTTTCCCTCAAAATTCACGTCAAGACCTTTAAAATAAGACCCCTCCCATCCTTCTACGGCCATCCAGTCACTCACAATTTCTTTACAAAAATTTGACTTACAGAATTATATATATAGATAACAGAACGTATGTCTAATTCTGGTATTTACTTTCACCTACCTTACGAATGTTGCCAGCCAAGTCCAGGAAGTACTGCTCTCCTTTATGTAGAGGTTCATTAGGTAAAGAATCCAGCTTCGGAGGAGGGAATGCTTTGGAATCAGGATAGTAATGGCAGCCATAAGGAGACCAGTTCTTGCTGGGGAGCTTCTCAAAGTGCACCTTCTGGTCAGACTTCTGCTGTCAACCGAATTAAACAACATTTTAAACTGTGTAAACAAAGTTTGAGTATCCAACAAATTAAAAGTTAGGTTTGTGCTTAAGAAAAACCTATACTGATAATCTCACTCAATTCCACACTCATCGGGCATTCTTATTCAGCTTAGAATACAAACCTCATAGTCTGCCGGTGTCTCGAAATATAGAATTATGTTTAATTGGAAATAAAGGTTTCTTTATGGAAAAGTGTTCACTTATGGTAACCTCAGACAGCCATTCCAAAGGATCTATTCCCACATTTAAGGAGGATTGTTTAACAGCTCTGTTTTTTTTCATTTTTAGAATCAACAAACACATCAAATCAAATTAGTGTACTCTATATTAATAAATTACTCTTTCTCTTTCTTAATAAAACATAATTTTCTGGTAATTAAGAAAACGTTTTCAATAGAAATTATTTTCAAATAAGAGTAAAAGAAAGTAGCATTTATTTGCAAGAAGGAACAGACGAGTACTAGAGTGAGGGATGATTTAATTTTTCATTCTTGTCAGTACTGTACATGTTATGAAGTTAGAAATTTGTTTTTATTATACTCTACCTTTCTTTTGTCTTTTCTGTTGGGTTTCTGCTTACTACCATCAGTTTTATCCTGTTCTTCTTTTTTCTTGCTGGAACTTCTTTTTGTGTTGTTCAATATATTAAGGATTTCATTGAGATCTTTTCTCGTTGCTATATCTTTGGCTGTTTCTTGTTGCTGAAAAGTGATAAACTTATTGTTAAAAAGATTAAATGTGGACCCGTTTTGAATACCTTTTTAATCGCTAATAATTGCAGTACCTAGTATTTTACGAGAGTATACATAATGAAGTTGATTTGTTAACACGTCCAGTGCTGACACATCAATTGATGGAGTCGCGCAACGAGCGCTCCTATCGGTCTACATCAATTGATGTAGTTGCGCAACCCCCACTACATTAGTTCAGTATGAGCTCAGCCATTGCCGGGGAACGTTAAAATTGTTGCTAGCCTGTAGCTTAGAATGTGAGCTTTATTTTGGTGTAGGTTGGTACTAAAATTTCCCGTAAAATCCCGTCTGGCAATGCTTTTTTCCCGGTTTCGGGGCTCTTCAAGCCACATTACAAAGCCACTGACTATTGATCCAGGGAGTGCTGCTACCTTTGGGTGTTTTAGGGAACTACGTCCAATCTCGGGGTAACGTAGTACAATCACCGCTGCTCTTTTGTTATTCGTCAGATTGAAGTCTTTGAATGCCAATTGCGTTCGCTGTTACGGTGCCACAACGGGGCTTCGCCCGGGCCTCACCGGCATTGGCGAGCACCTATTGGAATGCCTGCCGCACTGAACATGTTAACTCATATTTGGGTTTAAATACGCACATAGGTGGAGTCCCAATTTCAAATAGGTAATGATAATGATAACTGTGAAAAAATAAGGCAGAATAAAGTGGCTAAATTGTTTCTTTATATAACATACTGAATTATGTAACATAAAGATGAGATGACTACTTCAGTATCAGGTAAAAGTGTAACTGAAGTGAAGTTTATTATATCAATGATACTGTGTTTAATTTTCCTTTGCTGTGTCATCCTTGAGCATATATCCACTTCAGTGTCTAATTCAACGGTTACAATATTAAACAAATATCCACAAAACCAGCATACGAGTGAGTTTTTCAGTCTTGGTATTTGCTTAATATTCCATGTTATGTATGTACAAATGGATAATGTGATCATAGTATTTCACCTTATTCCTCAGAGACTTATCACAGCCGGCTTCAAGCAGTATCCTGGTCATCTTCCTGCGGCCCATGGCAGCTGCTATGTGGAGGGCCGTGTCACCATTCTGAAAAATGTATCAAATGTGTACTCAAAAATTTGCTAAGTTGGCAAAATTGTTTAGAAGAAATCCAACACTACTAAAGCGTTAGGTACAATTGATTGATTAATACTGTTACAGAAGTGTTATGGTCAATTTCAAACTCAGTACAGCAGTACTTAAGGGTGCGCTTTACCTCAGCTCGGAAATCTCAGCTCGGGCTTCAGTAGCTATGTTTCACCATTGGACAGCGCTGCGGGAAGCGCTTGCAGACGTTTCCAAGATTACTGTTTTAGAATTAACAAATAATGATAGCTACGCACTCTAAACGGCTTATAGTAGTACAAAGACCAATCTATAGTTCTGCGTTTTTCAAATGTTAAAAAAGCGTTTTTTAAATAAGTTTATTCTAGTTGAAAAGACCCTTTTTTCTTGTACTACAACTCAAGTTTATAAGGTGTGTATTTAAAATAATAGAAATATAGAACAAGGAACTATAGAAAATTTCATCCTCTTTAATATGAGACCTTAACTTTGATTCTACCTTCAATGTAGCAGGTGAAAACAGAAATCTTGCAAACCCTTGCATTCGGTTGCGCGTCAGGGGTAAAGCGCGCCCTTAATGGATAAATCATTGATCTATTTAATTTACTGTGAAAATATATAATGAATAAGCAGAGGGAATAACTATGATATTTTATTGGTAAAATCACAAAAAATTGCAATAGCTTTGAATTTTCATTTTTAAAGTATTGAAAACATCCATGGTTGTAACATTTTGTTTAGTATTAAAAGGACCATTTTTTGTTGTCCTAGTACACTAGGCACGTGCCTGGAATCGTTTTTCAAATTACTTCAGGCTAGACCTAGGGTTGATGCATTATCACATGGATAAAATCCATTGGTGATTTGCCGGGATTTAAACCCGGGACCAGAATCAGAATCATCATTTATTGTCCTTCAGCATTACATACATGCAATAGGCTAGATAGTGTCTTTTTTTTAAAACTTTTTCCCAGGTCAAAATTTCAAACAAATGAAAAAACGTCTGGTAATACCATGGATTTAGTACCCACACACACAGAAATCACTTTGAAAACCACCTTTTTGGGTTCAGGGGTACACTTATTTCACCCCATAACTTAAACTCAAAATTTTGAAGAAAACAATACTTTCTCCATATTATACTATATATGTGTAGGGGGAGAAAGTAATTAAAAAGGGAGCAAATGAAAATCACAAAGAAAACTATATTTTGAGATTCTTCGCAAACATTGTAACTCCTCTATCTTTTACACTTTCCCTCTAGTTTGATCTTAAAGGTACATTTGCTTGATTACTATGACAATAAATATAATTTTGATTGCCGTACCTTGTTCTGGTCGGACACTCGACAGTGAGCGCTAATGAGTATTCTGGTAACTCCAGCGTGGCCGTACCTTGCACTCGTGTGGAGGGGGGTGTCTCCATACTGTCAACAAAACAACATTTTATATTTTATTTCACCCTTTTCAAATTCACATAACCATCAGACAAATATTCTAACAAGCTGTTTAATTCAATACCACTGTCTAGAAATTGGAACCTGGAAATTTGTTGAAATACAGAGGATTAATTCAATAATATATTGGGTGTGTAGGTCTTCGACATTTGAAAATACAATGTTTTTATACAAAATATAGAGATACAACTTATCACTTTGGTATTGATTTTAAGTTTTTTTTTTTTTTTTACTGTACAGTAATAGTAATTTCATAACAAGAGTAGAAAATGAGTCATTACTCTTTACGAATAGCGTACTTTAAATGGTCGTGAATATGTGTAGACCATTTTCATTCGTGGGTACTTTTCTGTTAAAGGGAACATTCATTCTCTAATACGAGTTATAACTCAATAACTTGGTTATTGAACCAAGGCATATTTGCTACATCTGTCTGTAATTTAAATGCGTTTGAAGATATTAAAACATATGGAATATGGACCATAAAGGAAAACAAAAATATCAATATATCGAAAAGAAATCATCGATAATAATTAATATTCCCCTTAACAGGAAAGTACCCACTCGTGTTTTGAACGTTATTTTTCGCTATACTACAAAGACTAATAATTTTCTTAATTAAAGGAGGCATTGGATTTTTCTTCACTACAATTAGGAATATGACAAAACTCAGCATTTTTACGTCATGTCTTAAATTTAAAGTTAATATTTACTTTGGTTGTACAGTTTTGGTTGTTGAAAATGTAAACAGTTCACAAAACAATAACAAATCTTTGTTTGTTTACGTAGGCAAAATCCAGAAAAGATAGTAAACTTTACTTTCGCATAGTAAACAATTTTTTTCTGTAGTAAACAATGATAATTTTTTGCAGGTTACAAACATGTACCGATAACAAAAAGATGTAATTTCAAAGTAGTGTAGCGAAAAAATTGTTTAATCAACACAGTTTTTACAATAACACATGTAATTTAGTAACAACAATAGACTGTATTCAATTAACTAATACACATTACTAGTGGCATTTGTGGACCTACGTCCCTAAAAATCACCAAAACAGTCAACTCATTTTGTAATGGTCTTCTGAATGATGGTAAATACTTCTTCTTGCGGAATTCTTTGAGTACCTATAAGCTCTATTCCTTATTTCTGTTATGTTCCTTAGAACTAATCCCTGTCTTGCCGTCCTCTGCCACGCACATTCGCTAGATTCTTTATAAAAAATGTTTATCAAAAGGACAAACGAAAGATAATTTATTTTATCTAGTCATCTATGACACGCAGCAGCTCTGAAAATTATAAGCCAAGCTAATTTTTCATGTAAATAAAACAGACGCGTTTCAATTCCAATACTTTTTAAATGGTAGAAAGTGTTTGTTATTTCTCATTTTATGGTAGATTTGTACATGTGCTATTTTTCTCGAAACCCTGGGACCAAGACCTTTAATTTGAGCCCTCTCCCATCATCTTGCAAGCTGTCGAACTCACACAATTTTGATTTTAAGAAATCGCTTACAGAATGATAATATAGGTAAATGTGGATGTATTTCACGGTAAAGTTTGCATATAAACTCACGTTATTCTGGAGATCAGGTGAACAGCCTGCGATGAGCAGCTCTCGGCAACTCTGATTGTGGCCGTTCTGGCAGCAGAGGTGGAGGGGGGCAAACCCGCCGAGGTTCTTGATGTGCATGTTGGTCTTGCCCTTGCACAACGCAGCGACAGTACGAGAGAACCCCTTCCAACTAGCCTCGTGTAGCGCTGTGTTGCCATGCTGGGGACAAACGGGAGTATGATGACTCTAGGTAATAATAGTCTACATTTTATAATTACTATGTTGAATATTGTATTCATCTAGTACAATTACGGTGATTTTGGAAAAAGGGCTAAATCATGGATAAAATGTACTCCCTTAGAAGATGTCTCATCCTTATGGATCAGCTGAAGCTTTTACTGTTAGTTCTGTACGGTGCACTATAGGGGTCGTGTTTTTTTTTACGCTTTGTTTTTTCTTATTTCAGTAATTTAAAACTTTGTTTAGCCAAATAAAATGATCCAATCATAAACAATAGCTCGCCCCTGATTATAAAACCAGACAGTAAAGCGAAAATCGGAACAAAATTTCGTTGACACTAGCAATCAGTGTCACCGGACATGAATTAGACACGAAAAACGAGCTTCAAAATTTACAATGGGATAAGAAGTCTACTTTTGTTGGTCAGTCGGTACCAGTAACATAGGTGTTTAGTTTTCAGTTTTGAATTGTTGAACTAAATTCCGACAAACCGTGTTGTATAGTTTCAGAGAGCAAAGATGAATGAAATGTTAGTAGAATAAACTACAAGGAAACTTTTTTTGTTACTTAAGTGATTACTGGTAAGAAAGAATTTTTACCCAAAAGCCCAAAAACTAAAAAAAGCCAGTTTTGTTAATAGCTACAAAATTCTTTAGAGGCTGGTCCAACCACTATTGGATTTTATGGGGTGCACTGCAACCATTTGGCTATTCAGTGATTTGTCTATGTTACAACAAATGCTAGCTTTGGGTCTCAACCATCAAAATCTATCGCATTTATTTAATCTCATTCAAGATTATTCAGAATCCATTGTGTGATTTGCAATGAGTACGGTATTAAACTTTCAAAAATGTATACAAAAGTTAATTTGATTTTAGATTGTTACAAAGGGGCCTGTCATCTAAAACTATCTTCATGTTATGCCAGTAAAGAAAAATTACTAGATTCATAAATCATATTCAAATTTAATATATATTTTTTCTGAAGACTTGTGGATTCACAATCTCATTGTTGCAAATAGTATTCGAGTATCCATAAGTTTGAAATGCTACATAAGTGGTTGAAGCTCACTGACCACGATGTCCTGGTTGTTCGGGTTGGCTCCATGTTTAAGCAGCTGCTCGATGACTTGCTCATGACCTTCTGAAGCGGCCAGCTGCAGCGCCGTACATCCCGACTGGACAGACAACAGACAACAGACGTTAAAACTGAGGTCGACAGGAGGTGGAAATTATGTAGCCAGAGGAAGATGGAAAAGTCATGCACTGGTGTGAATCAAGAGGTTCTTTGAAATTTTGTATATACATAACCACTGAAACATAATTCCAGGTAGAGACCTATTGATCATTGTTATGGATCAGCCAAAGAAAATCATAAGGTATATTTCTCTTTGGTTTATGTAGAGGGTGTTAACAGTATACTATTTATTTCTTGTTAAACGTTAAAATTATTTTAACCTGATTAAACAATATCTTTCTTTAAAATACTCCTTGTTTCTGATATTACAACCTAAATAAAATTTTAAAATATTATGTAAAAGAGAGAAAACATTTAGTTCACATTAGTGAATTCAAATGTAACCAATATGCTTCAATTCAATAACTTGTTTATTGAACCAATTATAGACATATTTACATGTATCGGTTATGTCAAAATAATATCATAAATTATCCCTAATTTAAATAAGATAACAGTGGCGTTTAACTTACAATAATAAAATTACTGTACTTAAAACATGATATTTACAAATCATTTTGTTTCCAATTATATTTAAAGAATCTAGCCGTTTGTCACGGATGCTGTAGTAGTATTTATTTAATAGAAATGATTTTAGCTTTCATTTAAATTTCAGATGGTCTGACTCTGCCTTTAGATGAGTTGGAAGGTTGTTAAAGATATTTACTGCATTGTAACGGAGGTTTTTTTTTTAAGTTGTATAGTGGACAAGGACAGGGGATTATAAGAAGTTGTTAAATTGTAATCATGGTTATAGGAAATATTGAACTTGTCGACGTTTTGTTTTAGGAATGACAAGGTTTTGTAAATGTAAAGGGATGGAAACGTTAAGATGTTTGAAGTTTGAAAAAGCGGTTTGTGATTTTGTCGTCTTTTTAAAGAAAATATAGCTTTAATTGCCCGCTTCTGCAAACGGAATAGAAATAAGGTCCACTTGTTCTCAAACCCCCTTCTGGGCAAGCCATAGTGCAACTAAAGGGGTGGGCAGGATACTCATCTAGATGAAAGCTAAAAGATGGGGGAAAACTATTTGATCAAAACATGCTTCTGACTTTACTATATGATGAGAAGCCTAATAATTTGTACTATTCAACATCAATGATGCTAACCAAAATGCATTTTTGTAAATATTTGTATCATAAATCTTTGTCATGTAAAGCTTTTTGATCTCTCTATGATAAAAAATTGAATTTCTTGTATACTAGAACCCCACTCAGTATGAGAAATCGAAAACATTTGAAATAAAATTCATCCAATAAATAGGAATCCAGCATGTAAATTCTATAACACCTTAAAATAGTCAACCTCATTTGATTTTTTCAACATTTAGAACCATAAACTGTAACAAGCCAAATTCATGAACCATTTTGTTACATATGTGCTCAATGGTCAATACTTTACTAAATCATAATCACCGAACTATACTGGATAAATAGACTATGTAAGAATAAGAATCTTACAGAGTCGATGGCGTTGACTGGAGCTCCGGCCAGCACGAGAGGAGAGATGACCTCAACATGGCCTGCGGATGCTGCAAGGTGAAGCGCTGTACGGCCATCCTGTATATCAAGGAAAAGTAAGTAAAGCCAACACTTTTTTTAAACGTTTCTATGTTTAAAGTTTCACATAATATAATATAGAAAAAGCTTGTAGGGGTATAGACCATGGTGGAATGAAAAAAAAGGTGTGATATTCTCATTATATGCTGACATCACCCAGATAGCAAACACCATTTCACTATTTAAAAAAAAAAAAATCAAAACAATAACAATCAAATCAAAACAAATATATACTTATATAGCAGTTACAATCTGATTTTCTGTTTGCAATCTGGGTGACATCAGCCTATGATGCCTATCACACCTATGTTTTTCCTTCCACAATGGGTATAAACAAGAGAGTACTAACTGATGATTATGCTCAGAGGCTGCTGTTATTTTTTATTTTTAACAATGACTATAATACCAACCCCTCTCACATCTTATGTGTCAAATAATCTCTTTATGAAACAAGACTTTAAATCTTGCATGTTAGAAAATAATTCAACCTAAAGAAGTAAGATTTTCCAGGCTCATGTAGGTCATAACCTCTTACATCTTCAGTAAACAATCATTTAAATAACTGTCTACACAAGCTAAGGTTTAAATCTAAATTCTCAATATTAAAAGGTTGAAAGTGCATAAAAAACACATTACCGAGTCTGAAAGGAACTTGTTGGGATCAGAACGAGCGAGTAGTCTTGCCAAGTCCTGCACATGCCCGGAGACTGCTGCAGCTCGAATTTCTTCAGCCAACATCACCCTGCAACATCAAAGTTTTCTTAATTTTTCATCATATTTAGAAAAAAAACCTGGTAGAATCAAATGGAAAAGCATTTAGTTTGGCCAAATAATCCCGAATATGTTCAGAGACTGCTGCCGTTCAAATTTCTTCTGCCATCATCAACACCATTGATAAATTTTAAATCATGTTTAAACATAAACTTGTGGAATAAAGGTAGGAAAATACAGTTTAGCCAACTCTTGCACATGCCAGTAGGAGTATACTATAAGGAGGCGCGGGAATTTTATCCCCCTGGAATTTATACCCTGAGTAGATCTGATGTAATTTCTGATGTAACGGTCTGTAATTTCACCCCTGTATAATTTCACCCTCTGGTCCGATATAAATTGGCGAGAATAATATTTTTTTTGTAAATAAGGGGTAAATAATAATTTACTGAGTAGGCCTATACGTCTATCTATAAACAGACCAAAAATTACCGAAGAAAATTCATTATTCCCACCAAATTCTATATCTGGACAGGGGGCAAGATTCCGGGGGTAAAAATCCGGGGGTAAAATCCGGGCCGTAAATTTGGAGCCAAATTCATGAAGGGGGTAAAATTCCGGCCCTTACACTCAAGGTTTTATAATTTAATTTGTTACGGTATGATTAAATTTACAACCGTGGAAAGATATGTTTATTCTACCTTTATTAAATCAACTCTTGTTTTGGGCAACTCAAAAGTTCGCGGTGGGTATTTCACCCCCTAGTTTGTGACGTCAGTTTTGCTCAGGGGGTAAAATTCCGCCACCCCACCCACTATAACATCTGTGTCTATATTCTATACACTGCACTATTCTATTCTACATTATTCTATAGGAAATATTTAATCCAGAATGGAAGATGCATTTGTTGATATTAGGGCAATATAACCTAGTGTAAACAAAACGGGAGTGGAGTGCCCATGGAGACCTGTGGGGGTGCGTGCTTTTGAAGGGACTTGACCTGGTCTCCATCCCGTTTTGCTAACACTGTAAGTCAAATAACCAATAACCTCCTTTAAACGTTTGGAACAAGCATATTAAGTAAACAAAATCTACATATACAATCACTTTTGAAAAAGCCGTCCATTGCTCAACTAGCATATTTCTAATTAAATACAATGAAATCATAACTAGGCCTACTTTACTTTCAATATCCAACATATGCTCATTTAATTTTCTTTAATAAAAACGTACGAATAAATCATAATCTCCTATTAAAACGACACGTAAACTTTTCTAATCCTACTGCTTAAAAGAACACAATTGGGCGAGCCCAAACTCCCGGGTGACAATGAAGCGAAGCAAACTTCCGCTACGTCACGGGCGACCTCCGACGATCAAACCTCTAACAACTAAATCAGCAAAAAACGCCCAACTCGATCCGATATTTCCATAAGAAGTTGCAAAGACACGTTATAATGCGGGGACTAACGGTGATGCAAAGTGCGAGTGCCATTATCGATGTTCTGGAGGGGTGTGACGAATGCCGTACCTCGGACTGCATGGACAGGTGTCCGCTCAACGGGACAGCCTCATCGCGTCGTCTGCAGAAATCTGCAATTACCTGTGTCGTATGCTCTGGTCTGCGGCGCTCAGCCAGCTATTACCGAGCTATTTCCCCGGACAATGGTCAAGCTGAGGCGAAGATGTTCGCTCATCCGACCGTGTCTTGGAATGGACCTTCTGAGGCTACGTACCATTGGTCCATTGCACTCTGGATAGGGTGTTTAGGAGCTGCCGACTGAGGAACGGTTCAACAGATTATACCGTCTGAGTACGTCAGATTGGTATATAACTTTATGAGTAATATTTATTTGTGCTAGTGTGCTAAGTCGCACTTTGCTCTCGTGTTACACATATTTTTCCTTCAATTAACATAAAGCACAGAAATAGTTAGTCTTTCAAACACTTACACGTTTTAGGTTAGGTTAAATTTCTAGTAATCGTGGTTAAATCCAAGCGCTGAGCGAAATGGGAAACACTGCACCAGCTGATCGTAGTTGTAGTATCTGTCTGTGTTGCCAACGTAATTTCAAGCGTACACTGTTTTCTGTTTTGTTTGGTTGGAATATTGGAGTGAGGCAAAAGTAAAATGAGTACGGAAAAAGTAAGCAAATGCAGCAATAAGCTTTGTGTGCTATAATCAGCACAAGAAAGCCTGCTTTGTCAGGTAACTTAGGAAAATGGATTTGCATACTCGTCGCCGTCGTTCCATCTGATCAATGATTCTAATTTGTTGTTACTAATCCACACCTATCTATATAATTAATACGCTACATGAAACTTTGTCGGTTGAACTCCTCCGCCATTTCTTAACCGATTTTATCAATTGACGTCTCATTGGAAAGAGCGTGTCGCGTAGATTTGCAAACTGGCCTTACATTTTTGAAAAAGTCCCTTGGGCTCTGCCCCAGTGGCTGTTAAAATTCCCATGTTATCCTTATGGAGAACATAATTGTTTACATTTTGATCAGCTGTATAATTTAATTGCTGTTATTTATTTTTCAATTCAACGAAACGCACTGAGTACATTTATATTTACTATTTGAGTTTGTGTAAACATAACCCCCAAGATGGATTGTGTTAGTATGGTTGTATCTTAAATTTATGTATTTATCGTTGTTTTGTGTCGCTATGACGGATCGAGTTGGCATGATTGTAACTGAAATTTGTGCATTTATAGTTGTTTCGTGTAGCTATAATTTGTTTATTTGTTGTTTTATTTTTCTTTTAAATGCCTCCGACGCGACAACAACGAAACATGGACAAGAGGCGTAATCGTGATAACGACCGCAGCTACAGGTGGCGCGTAATAGGCTTAACTCATCACAGTCAGCACCTGACCCTGGAAAATCTCAACTATTAGATTACAAATGCGCCCTAACACTACCCCAAAACGATTCGTTCTCAATTGACCCTCTATCAATGACCTGTGTTGCCTGTAGAGCGAGGCATTTTGAGATGGAGAAAACCGGCCGGAATGCTTTAGGTTGATCAATAACGAAGTGAACATGGTCTGAGTTACACACCGGTAATCTTTGAGTTGACTCTTTTAAACTATTGTAAATATGACTGTTATTCGTTTTGAAATAACTTCTAGGTAATATTTTGAAATTGCTCGAATTTGAGCAACATGTAAACTAGTAATCATTAAATCAAGAAAAATTATTTTCTATCACGTGGATAGATGTTTGATTCCTAATTAACGTTTCTTAACTATTACTGGAAACAAGTACTGTAAGGCAAATGAATTGTCCCAACCGAAATGGTCTTCCGTTGCCAATTTCTTTCTAGTATTCGTGGTTTTTTGTATATTTTCAAATCCCTACTTTTTTAATGGCACATTTTGACGAATCATCAGAAAACACGATTAAATATTTAGGGCCTACACATTAACCATAACTTCTCTAAATACTAATGTATTTTTGTAAGAGATAGGCCAGATATGATGTGTAGGTAATCAATGACTTTGAATACTACGGGATTATGGTGTGGTTTGAATATTTTGAGTTGTATTTGATCTAAATGTACAGTCTACTCAACAAGTTCACTTACAGACTGCATCTTTGTTCTGTGCGATGGATATTAGATTATTGAAAATTTAATTTTATGCTACGAATTATATCGTGAGGTGAGTTCACACTTGTGTGCGTAGTACCGAGGCCAGTATCGCCGGGGCGTATCGTTGCCGCATTCCCATAATGCAACTCAGAAGTAGTAGCAGTAGCGTACCTGCTTCCTGATTGGGATAATAGCAGCTTACTTACTCATAATGAGTGTAATTTAGCTCTCAACCCATTTACAAACATTTGCCGTAGTGTAGAAGAGACTTAAGATCTTTTAAATCTGTAACATATTCAATTTCATGTAATGAGCGGTAATAGAGGTGATTTTAGTCTCATTTGGACGGGAAATAATCATTGACTGTAACAGTGATGGCAATAATGAAAGAAATTAATATGGGTGATTAGGTTTGATAGTCCTACAAATAGGCTTTTCATTAGCAGTTTACATAAGAAAATATTATCAAATGGTTTCTAATGGGTAGTTAACGAGAGATTAGTTTTTGCAATCGTCATTTTATTGCAGTAAACATCTTTTACTGGAAAAAACATTAGTATTTGAGTTAGCGAAAACAACTTAACCCCCAAATGATTTTTCTACTATTGCACGCCAATAATTCATGCTATAGCATAATTATTGTGAAATAAAGCGGTAGTACACAAATAAATATGGGGAATTATATTTCAATATTTATTAGAGAGGTCTAAACGGGAAAATTTGTAGAGTTGGGTTATATTAGCTAAGTGGATAGCCTACAGTGCTCGCTTAGTAATCAGAAATCGGTTCAAAACACATTGGTCTTTTAAGATATTATCAGTCAGGAACAAAGCTGTTATCTTGCTCTGTCAATACTCATCTTTCAGTCCAATACACTCTGATGTGTGTTTGCACGTAGAAATCTTATCTAAAAAAGTACAAGAATAGATATTTACGATTATAACTTAATACTCTGTTGCCGATCATTGACAACAACAACCCCATTGGTTGGGTTTGAGGACATCTTCATACAAACTGTTGGACTGATTCAGCCATCACATCTGGAACTGACCCGCGATGAACTCTTAAGAGGATTTGGTATCAGCTGAACCCAAGCTGGCCATAAACATGTTCAGGATGAACCGAAAGGACTTTTAGGGTCCATATTTTACATCGGTGGGATAATCTAGAAGCCGGAATCGTATGCTGTCCGGTTTTATATCGACCACATATTTTCGGGTAATAAATTGAATCAACTGAACAGGCGTTGGTGCTGAACGTCCTTACCCAAGGACCTCTTACATCTCTATCAAACAAGAAGCTATCGCTATCTCAGCCCAGAGGCAAGGTCCGCCAGACGGAAGTTATGTAAATCTACAGCTAGCGATGCACCGACCACTATACTCTGGAACCGGTCTTGCGATTTGCATTTCTTGTTCTCCTCTCCGTTCT